AAACCCTGCTGTTTCTTTAAGTCTAATTAGCAGTGATAGTCTTATTATCTGTGCAATAAGGACTGCAAAATTATGACCAGAGAAATATACCATATTACCATCATGCTTAATATTGTATGCATAGAAGCGACCTGCGAAGTATGAACCTCAACAACCCAGCTCAGCATATTATACAGGAACTACATACGTGTAGAAGAATTTTTTTTACCCATTGCGCACCACACGTTGATGACTTCTTGTCACTGAATACAGCTGGTATGGAATTTATTTGATGCTTACTATACATACTCTACTCTTTGTGTGATGTCCACTAACCTTTTCAGTGCAAATATCCATATGCCATAGACTTTCAAGATCAGAAGAACCAAAGCTTTGTCATCGTGTCCTTCTGCTCTATGAACTAGTATTTTCATAACCTTTTGTTTTTAGGACACCTATTCCACAACGAACAGGTCCTAGTAGTTTTAAAGAATCCAGGTGTTTACTTGCACATATGCAGTTGAAACATTATGAAATGACAATCCGAATCATATCCACATGCATTTTGTAATGCGATTTCTAAGAAGTGTCTTTCTGAAAACTCCTACTACATCCGACTTTTTAGGGAGTAACTTGCTATTTGAAAATCTGGATGACTTTAAATACACAAAAATAACTGTATTTTTAGATAGAGATGCTGGTAAGAAACTATCTACTGAACTCACTTGACAAGAGGGTGATGTGTGGGAATTCCTAAATGTAAGATGTTGAGTAAAAACCGACTGTTGCCTCCTACCAGTCTGACAGTAGATACTAAAATAAATAGACATTTAGAGTGAAAGATTGACGTTCACCCTTGGTGGTGAGTTATTGGAAGTAGTAGGAAATTTTATATATCTCGGTAGTTCTGTCAGCGTTGATGAAGGTGTGATTCATGAAGTTTCCAACCGCATATTGAAAACTAGAGTGGCATATTCCAGTCTAGGCGACCTTTGGCGATATCGTGACGTCAGTCTCACCGTTACAGGTCGGGTTTACAATGCGATGCGAGCAGTTCTCCTCTATGCCTGTGAAACCTGGCTTCTCCGAGCTGAGGATGTACGATGGCTCCGTGTGTTCGACTATCGTTGTCTTTGTAGGATTGCTTGTACCTGGTAGCAACACCATGTGAGTAATTCTGAGATACGACAACGTTTGTTTGGGTGTAATGGAGAGCGTCATTCGATAAATGAAGTCGTCTGGAAACACCAGCTTCAGTGGCTTGGACATGTGTTACGCATGTCGTCCCAACAGCTTCCATACTTTTCATTGTTTGCTAGCCCTAGGGACTTGATGGGAGAAGCAGAGGGGTGATCAGTGTATGACATGGCGCAGGGTTAACGTTTGTTTGTGCATCGCAACTCCTTGTTTAGGGAAGGGGAGTCCTAGTTATCTTGCAACTCAGTGGCTTGAGAGGTTATCAGGTATGGCTCAGAATCAAAATCAGTGGTGGTCATACTGTAGCTTCATTCTATCTTCCACTACTGTAAAGTAATGAACGCTTTGTTTTGAATGTATCCTACCACGAATACAAAAGGCTCAATTGGCTTTCGCCAACTTACGCCACCTATGGCGCCGCCGTGATATCCGAAAGTCGTGTATACTGCACAGCAGTCCGGTCTGTTCTACTGTATGGCTAGGAAACATGGCCATTGAAAGTGGAAGGCATGAGAAGGTTTAAGGTGTTTGACCACCGTTGCCTTCGTAGTATAAGCCGTATTGCATGGTGTCACCACGTGAGTAACGCAGAAGTCAGGAGTAGAGTTTTAGGGAGAAGAGGTAAGTTGGTTGATGTGATTGTGAACTTTCATCGACTGAGATGGCTGGTTGGGACACGTACTACGTATGCCTAGTCACCGATCGCCTCGTCACATAATGTTGGCTGAAGTAGGCCCAGGCTGGAAAAAGGCGCCGAGGTGGCCAGACTAAAATATGGCACCAATGTATGAAGTCTCTGATTGTTGGTTTAAGCCATGTAGGACGATGCAGACTAGGTGGTTGGGGTCGGCGGGACAAGAGGAACCAGTGGTTGGAGACTGACTGTAGGTGATATGGCTCAGAACCGATGTCAGTGGCGCAGACGTATCCCCACATACATTATCCTCATCTTAACAAAGCCATGGCAAATCTCACCATTTTGTCATTCTTCCTTTCTCTCTTTTCTTACTTTATATTCTTTTTGACTGCATTCTCTTATCTTCATCTTGCGCTTCAATACCTTGTTTACTTGTTGTAGTGATATGGGGTGTGGCAACTCGGACGGTTACGCAGTAATGCCTGGTCCGGGGTTGATCTGGATGGATGGATGAATGTATCTTACTGAACTACCTCTCTAATTATATTCTCACTATGCTTTTCTTTTCTTCCACTTCCTTTCGCTTGATGTGTTCATTATGTTGTTGTATTATTTTGTGGCGCATTTCTTGATACCTTTACTGAACCATATTTCTTTCCTGATAGTAATAATCTTTATTATGTTGTTTAAAGAATAATTGTAGATTAAGGAGATAGCAGATTGCTTAAGGGTTCAGACTATTTCTTACCTAAAACACAAAATAAGTACAGGATTGACATCAAGAAATGCATCATACATATAATATATCATTATTGTCAAGACAAAAGTGATGTAGAGAGAATACAGAAAAACCAAGCGAGTTATAAGTAGATTGTCGAAAAACCAATCTCTTACAATAAATTGGGAGAAGCTTTCATTATTTTTATTTTATTATTTGATATCGTAAGAAACAAAGCAGCTTCAGCATAATTACTATTGTTTTAGATTTTGTAGTGTATCGGCTAACATCTCAGACCATTTAGTCACATCGTCTTTCGAACCCTATTAAAACAGTAGTGATGTATTGACATATGCTAACCTAACAAAACTAAATTTCATCACAGATGCCCCAGTTAATAGTATGAGACCCTAGTACACCATTTTTTACGTATTTCCAAGTCACCGAAGCCAGTGTTTCAAGATTATTTTACTCAAAGAATGGAGATCTACATTACACTAAGATAAACACTATCTGATCTCAGAATTACTTGTATATCGTTTCTCCGAGATCCCAGCAATCTAATGAAGATAAAAGTAACTGATCATGCATATTCCTTAGACATCCTCAGTTCAGAGAGAACAGACTTCACAGGTATAAAGCAGAACTCTGCTGTAAAGTCCTGTACACCAAACGACACGACCTGTCTAACGCTGTAACGATATCAGTCACACAGGTTACCGTTTGTCGCTGTGTCTTTCTATATCTCTTTCTTATTTTTCTCATCACATCTTTACCAGCATTCATATAACTAAACAAGCGCACGAATCTCTCAACTGCCAAACATCAACCGCTAAATGTGAATGTGATCATATAGAATCACGTAGAACTTCGATGGAGCAAAGCGCGTTACACTTGTGGAAATGAGTTCAAACTATGCAGATAACTTTTTATACAGTGGGGAGTTGAGTCCATTACTTTCATTAGTTTGAAGAGAAACGTTGCTATGGTACAAAAAAGAAATGCCGAATAAGAAAAAGATATCCTTCGCATAAAGGTTTATCTTTCATGCTACCAGAACTGATCAATACAGGCTGTGTAAATATGTGGTTGAGTGGTACAAAGAGAACTTGTCTTTTGAAATGCTCGATAAACTTCAACTTGACAGCCGAGTTCCTTTATTAACTTGCACGTGCTAGATACAGTAATATCTATGCACCTATGTAAACAAGAACAAAATGCAGTGTACACAACTGTCGAAGTTTATTTCTATTACTTATTAATACCAAATACTACCTTCCTGTACTAAATATTTATTCTGTTTTTATGTACTTTTTAACTGAAAGGTGAGACAAACAAGTGTTCAGGAGGTTTGTATTGGTGTATATACGCTGAAGACAGGAATACAGACTGCTAGATGCATTCACTCAAAGAAAACTAAGCATAATGATCATCATTATCAACATAGGACCAGGCATTACTGCGTAACGGTCCAAGTTGCCACACCTCATATCAGCACATCAAGTAAAAAGGTAGTGAGGCGAAGGATGAAGATAAGTGAATGCAGTCAAAAGAAATATAAAGTACGAGGAGAAAGGAAAGAGGAGTGACAAAATGGTGAGATTCGGTATAGCGTTGTTAAGATGAAGATAATGTGTGTATACATCTGCGCCACTGACATCGGTTCTGAGCCATATCACCTACAGTCAGTCTTCAACCACTGGTTCCTCTTGTCCCGTGGACCCCAACCACCTAGTCTGCATCGTCCTACATGACTTAAACCAACAGTCAGAGACTTCATACATTGGTGCCATATTTTAGTCTGGCTACCTTCAGCCTTTTTCCAGCCTGGGCCTACTTCAGCCAACATTGTGTAATGAGGCGATCGGTGACTAGGCATACGTAGTACGTGTCCCAACCATCTCAGTCGATGAAGGTTCACAACCTCGTCAAATGACTTACCTCTTCTCCCCAAAACTCTACACCTAACTTCTGCATTACTCACGTGGTGACACCATGCAATACGGCTTATACTACGAAGGCAATAGTGGTCAAACACCTGAAGCCTTTTTATATCTTCCACTTTCAATGGCCATGTTTCACAGCCATACAGTAGAACAGAGCGGACTGTTGTGCAGTACACGCGACCCTTAATAGACAAACGAATATCACGGCGGCGCCATAGGTGGGGCAAATTGGCAAAAGCCAAGCATAAACTGATGTTTAACACAAGGTTTACTCATAGAATTGACTTACAATAATGCTGCTCGCATAATTGGTAGAATTTCATATATCTCAGTTAATCATACAGTATGTAAATTGACATAGTCTTGTTGGAAAAGAATGGTAGTCAATGGTAACTAAATGAACATGATTTAGAAATGAATACTTGTGTTGTTTTTCTAAAATATCCATTATTCCGTTTCATTTTTCTCTTTTTTGATAAAGCAGATATAATACATCAAACGTGTATGTCAAACCTTTATGTAGATGACTTCAACAAATTCTGAAAAGTATTATTTCTCTAAAATCCAACTATACGATCCTAATGAAATTATAAATTATGGGATACAACGACAGTTTCAACGGAAAAAGAAAAAAAAATTGGCAAAACTTGAAAGAGAAGGCATATTCATTGGGAATAATCCTGTTAAATTGTTGAAAAAAGCCACTAAAACTATACAATCAACTTTTGATAACATGGATATGACATCTAGTGACTTTATGCGTAGAAGATGGAGAATCGCATCTCTTAGAGCTCAAGGTAAGATTATTTTATTTGAATTACTCTGTTATTATCTAAGGTGTGAAGGTTAAAGATGATATATCTCTTTTGAAAAAGTCAGCTAATAAAGTGCACAAATTAAAAGTGAAAAGTGCTAAGAATTGGAAAAAGCGCATAGAAACTAATGAGCAAAAAAAAAATGAAAGACAAGCTAAGAGGACAGCAAATATTCAAGCAAGAAGGATGAAAAAGCTATCGAAAAAAGTGAGTAAAGCTCGTGATAAAGGAAGAATTTTCACTGCATGTGAATAAAGAACAAACTTCAACCCAGCACTGTAAATAACTTTTTAAAGAAAGTTTTTCATTCATCTATTTTTTTGTTTTCTATTTTGTATTGAAAGGACTTAGCGAACGCTATAACACTGGTAGTGTAGTTACTACACTTAACATGGTGTAGACTTAGGCTGAAAACGTTCTGATCTGAATTGTACTGGAGTGTAAATGCGTTTTAGAAACAGTGTTTACCGATTCTAGGCACCATAGTTAGAAAGTGATAACGCGCTAGTGCTAAGTACTTATCTATCTTTCTGAATCCTGAGTATTTGATATTACCTATCTTCTTACTAGCTCACAAAGTTATGCCTACTTCTCCTGATACATTCACAATTTTATTAAGTAGTAGTTATGGTGAACACAGACCGTCTGACAAAAGCAAAAGTCCTGAAATTCGGGAAAGCAGCAGGATGAGATGGAATTCCTCCAGGAGCACTGAAAATAGATGCAGAAACAACAGTGGACATGCTTACACCACTACCACGGAAGGTTTGCAAGGAAGGAAGGAAAGGTACCTGCTGATTGATTGGAGGAAGGGCTATCTTGTCAAACTCCCAAAGAAGAGAGACCTAAGCCTTTGCAAGAACTGGCGAGGAATCATGCTGCTGTCCACCCCAAGCAAAATATTATGCCGCATCATCCTGGAGAGACTAAAGGATGCGCTGGATTCAAAATTACGACCGGAACAGGCTAGGTGGCTTCAGGAAGAACAAATCATGTGCGGACCAAATTGCAACGCTACGCATCATCATAGAACAGAGTATAGAATGGCAGTCAACTCTCTGCCTCAACTTCATCGACCTTGAGAAGGCCTTTGACAGCGTGGATCGAGAGGTAATTTGGCAGTTGCTTAAATACTACGGAACACCACAAACCCTTATCAATCTCATTCAACAGCAACTATATGAAGACGCCACATGCCAAGTAATTCACAATGGAAAGCTCAGTGATGCTTTTGAAGTGAAGACAGGAGTGAAACAAGGTTGCCTACTATCACCCATAATATTCCTGATTGTAGTCGACTGGATCATGCAACAAACAGTGAGGAGCGAGGAGATGCGCCTACTTTGCTCCGATGAAAAGACTCAAACGATTTGGATTTCGCCGATCGTCATTTATGTCTAGTGTTTTGTAGCACAAACTCGAAGATCTACAGGCGAAAACTAACAAGTTGACAGAGGAGGCAGCAAAGACGGGACTTCAAGTGAATGTAGAGAAAACAGAGGTGATGAAGATACCCAACCAACAACAGTATCAACAACAAGCACCAATCACCATCAATGGGAGAAAGCTAAAGGAAGTTGTCTCTTTCACCTACCTATCTAGGCAGGTAGCATCGTCTCAACTACAGGCGTTTATGGCGGCACAGGCAAAGACGGGGATTTCAAAGCAGTCAGGATAAGAAACGCAAGACAGGCTTTCATTAATCTGAAATCAGTGTGGAAATCTATTGCAGTCAGCATAAAGTGTGAACAACTGGATTTCCAACACCAATCCAGTCAAGTCAGTGCCGCTATATGGCTGAGAAACTTGGCGCGTCACGAAAAGCACTTCCAAAAAACTACAGACATTCATCAACAGCTGCCTACGCTCGATACTAAAGATCAGATGGCCAGAAAGAATAAACAACAAGGAACTCTGGGAACAAACCAACCAAGAACTTATCGCCCAACAAATATGTAGAAGCAGAGAGTGTAGATGAATTGGGTATACAATGAGGAAGCCGACTGAGGGACATCACGCACCAGGCCAGGCCCTCGAGTGGAATCCTTAGAGGAAACGACGAGGTGGGCGTCCAAGGGTGACATGGAGATCATTTGAGGAGAAAATGAAAGCTTCTGGGCAATCGTGGCTCCAGGTTCAAAAGACTGTAGAGAACAGAGTGCAATGAAGGCGTGTTACTGAAGCCCTATGTTCCACTAGGAACCCAAGGGTAAAAACAATAATAATAGTAGTTATAGCGTTGGTGCACGCTCCTGACCACAGATGTTTGAGTTTAAAACGTTCAAGCCGGTGATTGAGAGTTTTCATTGTGACATTATTCATCATGGACGTAGTATAAGCACATTTTTTCAAGTTTAATAAGTAGGCTGGATTTCAGAAAGATTTACACTTCGTTAAACGAAAGACAAACAGATCAGCGTAGAACCTCACTCAAGCGCTTCGGCTTGTATGCAAAGAACAGGTGGATAAAAAAACAGTGGTACCAAAGTGAGACAATATACCATTTGAAAACTAGTGCAATTATTCAAGCATTAGGAGACGTCATAGAGTGAATATATTTGCGCCACTGTGACCAATTTTCACCCATGTGATTAAGGTTGGCTCAGTCTTGAACCACTGGTTCGTACCGTCTCGGGGACCGAAACCATGCAATCTACATCTCCCCGCAGAGCTCAGATCAAGTCAGAGACTTTATGGACTGGTGGCACGTGTTGGCCTAGCCACCTTGAACCATCTTCCAACCTAGTCCACCTTCCCCTAGCATAGAAAGTCGAAGTAGACGGTGATTCAGCGTGCTTAGTACATGTTCCAAGCCATCTCAGTTGATGAAGGATGACAACCTCACTAGTCGACTTGCCAATCTTACTTAGCACTTTTCGCCTGACCTCAGCATTGCTCACACAGTGATTCTACCGAATGCGAGCAATGCTACAAAGATACGTGATCAAAACCTCGTAACCACTTCACATCTACTCTTATCGGCGATGTCTCACAGCTATGTAACAGGACACAGAATGCGGTAGCGCACTATGCGCATCCTTCGATAGAGTCGGATATCTCACCATTGGGGGGCTAAATGACGCACGTTGTCAAATGCCAAACAAACCTTCTGTATCCGAGCTGCAAGTTCGTCAGCAACCAATCCGTTCGGTCAGGTACTAGTCCACAAAATACATAACTTGTAGATTTGAGCCGTCCCGACCGATAGCTGCTACCTTGACGTGGTGGTCGGGCTTGCATATCACAATGACCCAACCAGCTATGCTGGTGGAACATTTGTTCTCTCGAGATCCTACTACACCAGAAAAGTCTGTTAGATAGTGGTAAGATGAAAAGCAGTTACCATTGTGGTGGGGGTCTGAAGGTGAAGTCGTACTGCTGCTAGCTGGATGGGTGTGACAGCAATAAGGTGTTTCCCTTGGATGACCAGCTGTGTCATGCTGATGCTGCCTTCTCAATGGAAGGCGGGGGTTAGAAAAGGTCGGCCCAAAAATACAGAAGTTCAAAATAATCATACACAAAAGGCTACGTGTGACAGGCATCAAGCAGATGTCCGATGGGCTCTGCGGTCACACAAATCTTTTTCAGATATCTTAAGAAGAAATAGCGTTCCACGGTGTGGGCAGCCGGGAAGTGTCAACCACCCTCACAACTCGATCAGCACTTAAGTTTCCTCAGAGCCTTTCAGGAGAATATAACCTTTCTGTTGGAGTCCACGAAATAGTTCCAACTGTTACAAAACGTGTAACCATCATAGCCTATGCTATCATAACTGCGCACATATAAACTGATGTCAGTTTTACTAAATAATACTTTTCCAGTTTCGAGGTAAGCGTAGAAAAGTTATAAAAACTAGTTTAGATAATATTTATTAGGTATTAAAATCACAATAAGAAAAATATACATAAGTCGGTAAAATATAAGAAACAAAAATCGAATTTAATTCATTGTACCAAATAAATTGATTTGTAATGTATCCGTAACTGGTTTGTCAGTACAATTGTTTTTCTCTGTAGTCGTATCTTCCTGCTTGTGATATTGAACATAGATTCCTAAAACTGAATTTGCATGGCCTAGATTATACGGTTGAAAGCTGAGCACCAATTTGACGCGAGAACGAGGTCTAACATCATAAATAAGAAGAAAAAAAATAGGGGATTACATCAACATATATCAAACCACAACAGTATTATTTAACAAACATACCACAGAGAGATGTTGTAGATATGACCATTTATTATGAACACCAGTTAAACAGTGAATCAGATAACATTCAAACTACTCACCATATCGGTAAGTTGATTGGCCAACCTACGCCTTTGATACATAATATCGTGAAAAACAAATGAAGGAAAAAAATCGAAATCCAGCTCAGCAACCACATTCCCTCCTACAATTCGGTGGGGTAAGCGGACTTTGGAGCCTGTAACTTACTGATTAGAAGTTGAGTGCTTACATCAATGAACCATGACTCAAAATATGGAGTAAGATGCGCGGATATATCATACAACTGTCATTGGACTTGGAACAACAAAAAACATGGCCACGTACTACCACCCCACAAATTAAAATCTACTCAACTACCTTGTGCATATTCGTGTGACGGCTGATGATACTACCTGGTTGCCCAGACCTCAGTAGATGGAACGGTGTTCAAACCCGTAACTTAATAGCTAAAAGTCATCTCCTTAAACCAATGAGCCACATACTATCCTACCAGTCTTCGGCAACATGAATTCACAAGAACACTACTAGCCCCCAAAGATTTTGGGGGTCTGTTAGCAGAGTAGGCTTGCAGTTTTTAGAGATGTTACAATTAACCTCGTTAATGCAAAAGCTAATACACAGTGCATAAAACATGTACAGAGTACACCGAAAAGTGTGTACAAAACATGCTAATCAAAATGATGTTGATTCAACAGTTGAAGAAATATCTGTTAACTGACAAGATTAAACTATTCAGTCTAACGACCTAAACATTTATCAAGAAACCAGTAGGTTCATACGTGAAGTCTTTCGAGCAACAGACTTAGTACCACCTACTGATTAGTAATACTGTAAAGCTGTTCTAAGAGAGTTTCCTTATCCGAAACGTTTTTCATATGTTGCAGAACCAAAAAGTGAACAGTACTAAGGTTAGACACAAGTTCCAGGCAGGACAAGAGAGATAACTCATTCGACCAGGCTGTCAGCCTAGTTTCTTTCCATACCCGTTGCTACCAGGTTTTCTTCAGTGCTGGTTGTGAGATATGAACTGAAACACTGTAATATGAATTCCTAAGTGAGCTTTAAAAAATCATAGCAATGACCGGGAGCAGTTGTGGGAAGCAAAGGATAATGAGATGGAAAAATCAGTGGCAATAAGTAAAAGTAGACAGTTATTAAGACTTATCCAGCAAACAGGAGTGAAAAAGTCAGTGGTTGGTTTGACGACAAGGGAGTAGGATGGGTTTGCGGTTCACTCACAGGGAGACGACTGAAGCGTTGGGTCGAACACTTCGAGAAAGCTGTTCAACCGACCTCTTTGTACTACTATCCTCTTGCCCACTATCCAATCGGAACCTGAGTGGAACATCGCTGTAGGTAACCTAAAACGAGGAAGAGAGGTAGGGCCAGATGGACTGGTTCCAGAGGTATTTAAGGATGGCAGTCAAGGAAACGGGAATGTTAACTGATGTGTGGGAGTCAGATAAGATCCTCACTTGTTAGTCTCAATCACTGATTATCTCGGTCTTCAATAAAGGCGAGATCTCCTGTGATAACCACAAAAGAATCCAAGATCCTATAATGATTAGATGTTTGAGTGGAGCTCAGGCACCTACGATCGGGAAAACCTGAGAAAACTAGATAGGTTTCAGACCTGGTCGTCAGTGTCTCGACCAGATATTCACCCTCCACCAGGCTCTGAAACACATACACACTTATCGACGCCTGACATTGGCTGTATCTCTCGACCTGTAGACAGCGTTCAATAGAGAAGTCTTAAGACAGTGTTCCTGACAAAAAGGAGTACTGGAAAAGTACTTCACTTGGCAGAAGGCTCTTTACTACTCGGACATCCATGGGTGAGTTACAGATTATGATGAGCTGTCACGTGAGGTATATACATCGAGTGGTGTCCGTCAAGGACGCACACTCTCCTGTTCAATTTTACCGTAGATGTACTTATGGAGGTCTCTCTCTCATCGTATAACTTCAAAAGAGAATTCTTCGCAGATATAGAATATGCAGATGACGTAGTCGTGTTAGGTAAAGATGCAGAGTCTTCTGGGCACCTTAGGTGGTAATTTGAGAATGTTTGGGATGCGTTTCTACCCACCCAAAAGCAAAGTGTTACTTTAGTAGTGCTCAGTTTAATAATGAGGCGTGAAGTGGTTGAGCGCGTTGACCACTTCGCTTACCTTAGAAGTTTTCAGTGACCAACAGGATATCTGCATGGATATAAATAAAACTCTCTTGGCTATTGCCAACTTACGCCACTTATGGTGCTGCTGAGGTATCCGATTGTTTGTCAAGCGAAGAGTTCAATCTCTTCTACTACATGACTGCTAAAGGTGGAAGAACTGAGAAAGCTTCTAGTGTTTAAGCACCGTCGCTTTCGTAGTACAAGCCGTGTTTTATTGTCACCATGTCAGTAACGCAGAATTCAGGTGCAGAGTTTTAAGGAAGAGAGGGAAGTCAGTTGATATAGTTTGAACATCTGTTGCACATGCCTAGTTGCTATCTGCGTGGTTGTGCAATGTTAGCTGAAGAGGGTTAAGGGTGAAAAAAGGCTCAAGACGGACAGTGCACGAAGTCTATAACTGCTGATCTGAGTTATCGCAGGGAGGTGCAGATCAGCCGGTAGGGATCCATCTGAAAACAATAGTCAGCGTTTGCAGAGTCGATGTCAATGGTGCACACATTATTAATCGTTATACTGAATTTAACATTTCCTCATTTCTTTTCCCTCCTTATTTACTGACTCTGACCCTTTCTTCTTCTTCATCTATCATCTTATCGTTTCATTATTTGATGTGCTGAGGTTTGGCAGCAATTCGAATGATTGTATTCTAATACTAGGTCCCTATGTTGATGATGATTAGAGTAGTTTTATGCATCGATCACATGAAAACCAAAGTATTATTTCCGTCTAAAAAAAAACCATGAAGTGATTCAATGATAAATGGAGAAAATGAAGTAAATTTGATTGACAAACATCAATCAAGATCAACCTTCAAAGTGGAAACTATTTATCGATCGCGTATATAAAACTTCAAGTTGAGCTTATCATTTCAATGTAAGTTTAGCATACAACCATATATATGCAACTCTTGCTAATTGAATACTTCAGAAGCTAAACCGAAAATCTCTAGTTTCATGATCGGTTGAAAGTCGATCCAATAAAAAGATATATATTTTGAGGTCATAGTAGATTTCAAGGTAGTATTCATCGACGATTGACATCATTTCGAGAACCACTGGAAGCGTTGGACAACTGGACAACTAGTATGCACTCACAACCTCACCAGGAATCAAACTCAGGACCTTCATTCAGTCATTGGGTTAGAGTTCAATAGTCTACAGTTGGCATCCGTTTCTCTTTCAACTACATGACACCACAGGGAAGCGGATTCCAACTGTAGACCTTAGGTGATAGTCACACTATGTCACAAATTGACAGAAATTGACAACTATGGATCACTGAATTCCAACCCAGTCGATATGAAATCTGAAGGTCCCGAGTTCAATCTATGGTTGGATGATGAGTGAGTACTGCTGAAAAATCCTATTCCAGAACGAAACAGCTATCCAGTAACCTACAGGTTTTGAATGATTCTTCAACTGATATCATTTTTTTTAACAATAATTAGTACTTCCATATTAGATTTGTTTATTTGATATAAAGTGCACAGTGATACAGTATTATTTAATTGATTATGTTTCGAGCATAAATTATTGCTCATAATCATATCAATGTAATCACACTTCTTTCGATATCTTATTTTATAGTCCTGTCACCTGATCTCTCTTTGTTTTTTTGTTTTTTGATTGGTAGTAAAGTTTTCCATATCTCTGGTATAGGTGTTGCGTCATTCCTATTCCACATGTGTTGGGTGTGGATTCGATGAACAAAGATTCAGTAATTAATCTCTCTCAATGTCCACCTAGCTATATTAGACTTAAGTACAGTGGTTTTGTCCCACCCATCCTATTGTGTGGTTGTGTGTTAATGAATGTAATGCAATGGCCGAGTGTTTTTCTAGGTTATTGATCTTATTGGGGTCTGCCGTTCTATGTTTAGCTAAATTCCTATGTTCTGTTAATCTAACTGACTCCGACCGGCTAGTTCGACCTATGTATTTGACTTCACAGTCATTACATGGAATTTGGTAGATTATATTATTTTGCTTAATTGGTTCTATCGGATGTTTTAGCCGACAAAGCTTACCTCTAAGTGAGTTTGTTGGTTTAGATGCCACCCTAATTTCAACCTTGTTGAGAATCCTACGTATGGTTTCTGATGTTCCTTCCTTGTATGGTATCACAATAGAGGTGCTGATTTCCTTTCTACTTATGTTGTCACTATTATTTGTATTTGTATTAGTGTTATTATTTTGCTTCTTATGTGTCCGTGTGAATTTCTTAATAAAATGATGGGGATAATTATTGATTATTAACGCTTCTTTTATGTGTTTCAATTCCTTATTTAAGTCCTTACAATGACTAGTGAGAGATTAAGAGAAACCTATAGATACTGTCATGAATAAAATTAAGAAATCTACAACAGATCTGATACGCCGACTGAAGCCATCTCTAGGTAAGTCCGAATGGTTTACTTTAATGCCAAAAACTAATAATCCTAGCAGAATTTACGGTACTATTAAGGTTCATAAAGCAGGTTATCCCATTAGGCCGATAGTTGACTTCCGAAACACACCAACATATGAGATATCAAAGTATTTAGCATCAGTATTACGTCCTGTTAGAGACCGTTCCAACTCTAGACTAGTAAATTCTTACGAGTTGAAACAAAAACTTAATGACCTGCACATAGAAGAGGATGAAAAAATGGTTAGTTTTGACGTAACAAGTCTTTATACTAAAATACCAATCAATATGGCACTGGAGGCAGTCAGAAATCAACTAGATACTGACTCACAACTTACTCAAAGAACCAAGGCATCGGTTGGTGAAATCATGTTAGGAGTGCAGTTATGCTTAACCTCGACAGTCTTCAAGTTTCAGGGAAAGATTATAGACAAACAGAAGGAGTAGCAATGGGATCACCAATATCCCCTATAGTAGCAGATATATTTATGGATAGTTGGGAAGATATGGCTTTACGAACATATAATCCGACACCTAAGATATGGTGGCGATATGTAGATGACACATTTACAGTGTTGAAATCGGAACATATCGACAGTTTCTTGACACACATAAACTCAGTAGTTAACGCAATCCAATTCACTACGAAGTAGAAAATGAACAAGGAGAATTACCTATGTTGGATTGCAGAATAAAACGAAGGATAGATGGTGGTTTAGATACTACCGTCTACAGAAAACCAACACATTCTAACAGGTATCTAGACTTCAAGTCATCTCATCCAGTGTCAGTTAAAGCGGGTTTAGTCAAATGTCTAAATAACAGAGCTGAGAAACTCACTAGTCATTGTAAGGACTTAAATAAGGAATTGAAACACATAAAAGAAGCGTTAATAATAATAATTATCCCCATCATTTTATTAAGAAATTCACACGGACGCATAAGAAGCAAAATAATAACACTAATACAAATACAAATAATAGTGACAACATAAGTAGAAAGGAAATCAGCACCTCTATTGTGATACCATACAAGGAAGGAACATCAGAAACCATACGTAGGATTCTCAACAAGGTTGGAATTAGGGTGGCATTTAAACCAACAAACTCACTTAGAGGTAAGCTTTGTCGGCTAAAAGATCCGATAGAACCAATTAAGCAAAATAATATAATCTACCAAATTCCATGTAATGACTGTGAAGTCAAATACATAGGTCAAACTAGCCGGTCGGGGTCAGTTAGATTAACAGAACATAGGAATTTAGCTAAACATAGAACGGCAGACCCCAATAAGATCAATAACCTAGAAAAACACTCAGCCATTGCATTACATTCATTAACACACAACCACACAATAGGATGGGACAAAACCACTGTACTTAAGTCTAATATAGCTAGGTGGAGAGAGAGATTAATTACTGAATCTTTGTTCATCGAATCCACACCCAACACATGTGGAATAGGAATGACGCAACACCTATACCAGAGATATGGAAAACTTTACTACCAATCAAAAAACAAAAAAACAAAGAGAGATCAGGTGACAGGACTATAAAATCAGATATCGAAACTTGTGTGTGATTACATTGATGTGATGATTATGAGCAGTAATAATTTATGCTCGAAACGTAATCAATTAAATAATACTGTATCACTGTGCGCTTTATATCAAATAAACAAATCTAATATGGAACTACATTCTACCACAGTGCCCAAGTTTTTCACTTATATTAATAATTAGTACTGTACACAAAAACTAATAACACATAGAAGTAAATGAATTTAATAGATGCTTACAAGATACGGAACCGTGTTTCTTTCGGTTCAATGATATGGAATGGTGGATTGGGGAGTTGAAGCTTTACAAAGGCTTCGATCATTTTCATTCGATTGATCAACATAATCTTTGTAAAAAAGAAACCAAACATAAAAGTAATGACAATAATAATTTATATAGTAAAATTGACTTATATACTACATACATATGTACAGTTAACAGGTAATAAAAATGAGATAAGCTTACATTATATGAACAAGATCTCGTTGTAGACTTCGAATTTATGATATCAAACGTAACTGGTAAGCCAATAATATCAAGTGGACCTACACGAACAGATTTCAGAGTATCATCAATAGATGGTAGAAGTGTAGAATTGTTCAGTGTAGACGAATATTTAAACTTATTCTCCTGTAAATTTTGAAGATGAGATGATAATTCTTTGGTTGACGATATATGTTTACGACACTGAATATGAAAATAGAGAAAATGATAAATAAGAAGGAAAAAGATACACAATATAAGCTAAATGTAAGATATAGTAATGATATAAGTGGCTAGCAGTGGAATTTAGGATGCGCATTTCGTCCTATTTGGGACTCACTAGTCAGCTGGATGTACCTGCCTCTCAGTGAGTGATGTTGTTTCCCATTGGGACTCGGGAACGATCGCTTCACTACACTACAAACTTTTTAAAAAACCCTTATCAACAAGCGAAAACATGTAGAAAACAGAGATTATCTTGGTTGTATTGTGTTAGTCGTGAAGCTTTTTCATCGTCTTTCTCAACACCGACATCATCAGCATTAACTTCGGTATGAAATGAGCTGTCAATATCTCTCTGTCAGTGATTCACTAGCTTGCCTTGACGAATTGGTCTGTGTGTGCTTAGTTGTTTCCTCTATCCAAAATTTCTACATTGTCAAAATTGATGTCCATAGTTGTTATCCATGTTCAATAGCCAATTGGTATTGATGTAGACGAAGGCGAAGAGGCTGACCACTTTGTCTAATGTAGTATTGACTACAGTTGATTTCGTAAATGATACTCAGTCTTGTCTTGTTTGGAGGGAATTTGTTGGTTTATGAGCTTCACCAATTCCTAGTGGTTTCAGTAATCCTATCATGATTTCTGATATATTCTTTATGTACGGTACGATGATGCGTTTGTTGATTTCTGTCGATGACTTCGTAGTTGATGATGTACGAGATAAACATCTGATAAAGTCTCGTGGGTAGCCGTTCTTCTTTAGGATAGACATTGAGCAATTTTTTTCGTTTCTCCATGAAGTTGTTACACCGCATGGTATGTTCCTGCTCTTTTGAATAGAGTCTTCATGCAACTAATTTTGTGCACTGTTGGATTGTTGCTAATGTAGTTGAAGATTTGATCAATATGTATTGACTTATCGTACACTTGGGTTTCCAGAATTTGTTCTACCGTCTAAAACACCCAGGAATTGTAGTTGGTTGTTTAACTCCTTTTCCATTGTGATGATAAAAGTATCGTCTAAACAGTGAATCCGAATTTTCGGTTAGATCACAGGTAAAAATGAAGACTTCCAGTCTCTGCATCACTGCTTCTTGACTTAGTCCACATATCAGTGATCCCATTAGAGTTTCTTTCATCTGTTTGTATATCTTGCCATTGAATTGGTTAGTATGTTATCAGATGATGTCGATATCTAGAAAGCTTCACAATTAAACAACCCAGCTCAGAGAACACAATACAACCAAGGACCATCCACACCTGAACTACAAATATTTTTCATCATTTCAAACAGAAACTATACATTGAGTAAACTTTTTTTAAAACACTAAATTATGAATATGACTGTAGTTATGCGAATTAAACTAATTATCCACTTTTCTAACATACACAAGTAACATTTTAAAATCTACTCACTGCTCAAAGTGATAGCCTCCCTATTCAACTACCTCGAACCATCCTTCAACCACCTATCTTTCTACATGCAAGTAGACACGTTATCCGAGCATCTATTAAGGCATATAGAACAATTGATTTTAGGGTTAGAATTCATCATGAACTAACATCAATCGGATAGCTACTTCGTCCTAGTATGAGACTCCTCAGGAGTGCACACCTACAACTTCTCAGCCAAAGATCAGACCTAGGACCTTCAGGTTGTAATCCAATAGTCTAACACTTTCAATTTCTATCAGTTCACGATATAACACAACCTACATTTAATATCATCGTTGAGTAACTGTTCGACTTGGTTGACTTCATTGGTCACAAATTTCTCATCGGAACCTCAGGAATCACCACCTTATTAAAGTCATAATATTAGTCCATTTTTATTGAAGTTAATTCATGCTAATGACATGAAAAAAATTAACGGAAAAGCCAACAAATATTATTACATGGTGTATATGATCTTCAGTATACCAAATGATAAGTTATTACCTCCTATGTACACATTCCTCGTCACCTAATTACACAGACGTTGACCCAATCACAGGTGAATTTTCTTTACATCTAGAATATGCAGATGACATAGTCCTGTTAGGTGAAGACGCTGACAAGATGCAGAGTCTTCTGAACACTTTGAGTGGGAATTTGAGAATGTTTGGGATGCGATTTTCACCACCCAAATGCAAATTTTTGCTCCAGGACTGGTCTTCAGCGATGCCCCACCGCGGCTAACAATAGAGAGTGAAGTGGTTGAGTGTGTTGACCACTTCACTTACCTGGGAAGTAGGATCTACCCCGGTGGGTTAGTCGCCGATGAGATTTCTGCACGGATACAAAAGGCTCGACTGGCTTTTGCCAATTTACGCCACCTATGGCGCCGCCGTGATATTCGTTTGTCTATTAAAGGTCGCGTGTACTGCACAGCAGTCCGCTCTGTTCTACTGTATGGCTGTGAAACATGGCCATTGAAAGTGGAGGATACAAAAAGGCTTCAGGTGTTGTTTGACCACCGTTGCCTTCGTAGTGTAGGCTGTATTCCGTGGTGTCACCATGTGAGTAATGCAGAAGTTAGGTGTAGAGTTTTAGGGAGAAGAGGTAAGTCAGTTGACGAGGTTGTGAACTTTCATCGACTGAGATGGCTGGTTGGGACACGTACTACGTATGCCTAGTCACCGATTGCCTTGTCACACAATGTTGGCTGAGGTGGGTCCAGGCTGGAAAAAGGCCCGAGATGGCCAGACTAAAACATGGCACCAATGTATGAAGTCTCTGATTGTTGGTTTAAGCCATGTAGGACGATGCAGACTAAGTGGTTGGGGTCCACGGGACAAGAGGAACCAGTGGTTGGAGACTGACTGTAGGTGATATGGCTCAGAACCGAAGTCAGTGGCGCAGATGCATACACACATTATCCTCATCTTAACAACGCTATACCGAATCTCACCATTTTGTCACTCCTCTTTCCTTTCTCCTCGTACTTTATATTTCTTTTGACTGCATTCACTTATCTTCATCCTTCACCTCACTACCTTTTTACTTGATGTGCTGATATGAGGTGTGGCAACTTGGACCGTTACGCAGTAATGCCTGGTCCTATGTTGATAATGATGATGATGTACACATTTTTCAAAGTAAATATTTTTACGGTTGTTGCTGATATAATGTTACGTTTTTTTTTTGGATCCAAGCCATCGACTGAATGGTAGTGTATTTATCAAAAGATGTGACAATTAGTAGTGTGAATGTTAGCAGTAAATTAGTCTATAGTTTCTTTCTTATATGTATACATGCTTATAGATATCCAAATATGCATAAACTATCCACAATGAAGTTGACAGAAGAGGCAGGGCAGCAAAGACGGGACTTCTTTCAAGTGGATGTAGAGAAGACAGAGATGATATCCAACCAACAACAACAACAACAGGCTCCAATCACCATCAATGGGAGTAACTTAAAGGAAGAAGTCTCTCTCACCTATCTAGGCAGCACTGTTTCAACTACAGGTGGCACAGGCACAGACGTGGATGTCAAAACCAGGATCAGAAAAGACAGTAAGACAGGCTTTCACTAATTCAGAAATCAGTGTAGATATCTACTGTACTCAGCACAAAGCGTGAACAAGATCCAGATTTTCAACACTAATTCAGTCAAATCAGTGCTGCTCTATATGCTTGAGAAACTTGACGCATTACAAAAAGCATTTCCAACAAACTACAGACATTCACCAACAACTGCCTATGCTGGCTCAATACAGAAGATCAGATGATCAGAACATTAAGAATAAGCAACAAAGAACTCTGGAAAAACAAACCAATCACCCAACAAATATACACTGGAAGGAAGTGGAAATGTATTGAGCATACACTGAGAAGGCCGATTAGGGATATCACGTGTCAGGCCAGGCCGTCAAGTGAATTCCAAAAAGGGGAAACGATAAGTTGGACATCCGAGGTGAGGGTGAGAAAGAAATGAAAGCTTATGGACAGTCATGGCATGTATATATTGAACAAAATAGTTTCTTTCTTGCTTACCGAACCTTCTAAAGTGACTAGAAATGTTATTGAATCATTTAAATCCAATTGAATTTCATGCTGATGAAATTTATTTGATTTCGATGGTTCTAACCAAAAATTAAGATGCCAATCTTGATATATCGTATTTTCATAATATGATAAAGGATTAAATATGAAAGGTATAAGTAATGAATGAAATTCTGATTTTTTAACATTATTCGATAAAAAACCAATTTTGTAGGTAGATTCATTGAAATTGTATTGTTGAATTTTTGATTGAAACAACTGAAACACATTGAACTCGTTAATAGATTTCTTGATAATTGAAGATGATGAATTTATTGTAGGAATTCGAAACTGTACATCTGTTACAGGATTTACTGACCAAAATACTCTCCATAATGAATTATTAGATAATGTGCTTTGTTCTAGACTCACTGAAAAATACGCTAAAAACAATCGAAAAAATAAATTATGAAGAATATGAATTGTCTTGTCTATTTTATTATAAAACAGGAAATCCAGAGTCTACACACATGGATGATGAGAACTAAGGGGTAAGATATTTCAAAGCTTCAAGTTAGTATAAATATTTAAGCTTTAAAAGTTGTCAAAGAATGTGATTGATTTTCAGCCATATCACCATCAAAAGTGACTCAATCATCAATCACTGATTCCTTTAATCTTGAGAACCGAAATCAGGTAGTGTAAATCGCATTAAACGGTTAAAACAAATTAGTCAAGGACTCTATCATCTAGCCACCCTGAACCCTCTTCTAACCTAGTCCACCAGCTTTCTCCAACGTCGAGGTAGGCAGTGGTTCAGCATGCCTAGTACATATCGAAGTCACAACTTCATCAATCAACTTGCCTGTCTCGTCCATTACCTTTCATCTGATCTGACTACTGCTCACACGGCGATGCTGAAAAAATACTGATGATCAAAACCCTGTAACCACTTCATATCTTTGAACAGCCATGTCTTACAAACGTATAAGGGGACAGAACGAACTGTAGCGCAGTATAGATAGTCGGATATCTCCCTAGTTGGCGCCATATATGACGCAAGCTGATAAACTAGCTGAGATTTCGTCAGCAACCAGCCTATTCGAGCTGGTGCAACTTCCCAAATAAGTGAAGTGGTCGACACATTCCACCACTTCCCTACCTATCATTAAACTGGAAGTGCATGCGTAAGATCAGTCCTGCATGCCAAACATACTCATATTCCTGTTTACCTCGGAAGTAGATGAACCCCTATGAAGTCAAACGTAGTTAAAGTTATGTCCATTAGTATGTCTAAAACGAAGTTAAATAGAAACGGTGACCATGGGCATGCCTGGTGGACGGAAATCATTTGTTGTCGTCAATTCTAATGACAACTTTCCATAAACCCGATTGTATTAATTCAAGTGGGGAGATTTGATAAGCATCATATAGTTTACTTGGGACTCCTTTCACAGTCAGAACACTACAACAACACAACCTCACGGTCGACAGAATCAAATACCTTCTCTGTATATCTAAAGGATTTGACAAATATCAGCTTTTCATGCTACGAATAATTGCAGTTAGGGTTAGGTGGAGACGTTCCTCGAAGGGTTTTGTCTATTTTTCTACTTCTCAACACAGAATGAATATAGCAAGAATCTCTAAGAACCCCTTACATATAAGTAATACATTGAACATGCGTTTCATCAAAGTTAAAAGATATTGGAGGGGGAGGGGGGGGGGGCAAGGGCGGGTTAATATGTACAGAAGTCATGAGTGCAAAGAAACAATAACTTACCTTCTGATGAACAACCAGAAACACAAGGAGGAAATAATAAATTATGTGGTGGACTCAACTTTAGTTTAGGAGACTGTGAAAACGTAATTTCTCTAGTTGAAATACTAGAACTAGGATTGGTCGATGGATATTTTCCTTGTAAACTGATTTTTCTAGTCAATGATTGTGGTATCAAAGTTGTAGAAATATTTTGAAGAGTAGAATTCAATGAATTTCGATGTTTGAATGCATCATGTTGAACAAAAACGCTAGGCAATGAACTGTCTATTATTGACTCAGATAGTGAATTCAATGAATAAGTTCCAAGATGATTAGAGTTATCAGAGGTTTGATCTTCACTAGACGCATAAATGTATAAAAATATACGTTCACAATGATGTACTTGATCGATTATAGCTTGATGCCAATCTTGTGGTCGAAGATCATTGTATGATGCAGGGGGTAACTCAACTAAATCAAATAAAAGTAATTTATATCAGTTAAACATTGTAACAACAACTCATAAGTGATAGGTAATAAAGCGTACAGACTAGCTAGGATTGGTTAATTGCCAGAATATAGTCACTAATCATTGGTCATTATACGTACGTTAGTAACAAATGTCAAAAGTTTCATTATCAACATAGGACCAGGCATTACTGCGTAACGGTCCAAGTTGCCACACCTCATATCAGCACATCAAGTAAAAAGGTAGTGAGGTGAAGGATGAAGATAAGTGAATGCAGTCAAAAGAAATATAAAGTACGAGGAGAAAGGAAAGAGGAGTGACAAAATGGTGACATTCGGTATAGCGTTGTTAAGATGAAGATAATGTGTGTATACATCTGCGCAACTGACATCGGTTCTGAGCCATATCACCTACAGTCAGTCTCCAACCACTGGTTCCTCTTGTCCCGTGGACCCACACCACTTAGTCCGCATCGTCCTACATGGCTTAAACCAACAATCAGAGACTTCATACATTGGTGCCATGTTTTAGTCTGGCAACCTCGCGCCTTTTTCCAGCCTGAACCCACCTCAGCCAACATTGTGTGACAAGGCAATCGGTGACTAGGCATACGTAGTACGTGTCCCAACCAGCCATCTCACAACCTCGTCGACTGACTTACCTCTTCTCCCCAAAACTCTACACCTAACTTCTGCATTACTCACATGGTGACACCACGGAATTCGTCCTATACTACGAAGGCAACGGTGGTCAAACACCTTAAACCTTCTCATGTCTTCCGCTTTCAATGGCCATGTTTCACAGCCATACAGTAGAACAGAGCGGACTGCTGTGCAGTACACGCGACCCTTAATAGACAAACGAATATCACGGCGGCGCCATAGGTGGCGCAAATTGGCGAAAGCCAGTCGAGCCTTTTGTATCCGTGCAGAAATCTCATCGGCAACTAACCCACCGGGGTTAATTCTACTTCCCAGGTAAGTGAAGTGGTCAACACACTCAACCACTTCACTCTCTATTGTTAGCCGCGGTGGGGCATCGCTGAAGACCAGTCCTGGAGCAAAAATTTGCATTTGGGTGGTGAAAATCGCATCCCAAACATTCTCAAATTCCCACTCAAAGTGTTCAGAAGACTCTGCATCTTGTCAGCGTCTTCACCTAACAGGACCTGGCGCAGTGTGAATATTTGGTCGATACATCCACGGCCAGGTCTAAAGCCTGCTTGGTTTTCTCAGGCTTGGTGTTCCCGAGCTCCACTCAGGCGTCGGAGAATTATAGAACCTAGGATCTTAGACACTATGTTCGTCAGGCTGATTCCTCTGTGGTTATCACAAGAGAACTCACCTTTCTTGGAGACTGGAATGATGAGTGACTTAGACCAGTCGGAGGGATCGTATTTGATTCCCATATACTGGCTAACACTTCCGTTAACCTGAGTAAGTTTCATCTGTTGCTGGTAATTCCTGATTCCCACATACAATTGATCAAGTCAAAGATTACATACATTTTCATTCATTCATATTCAATGACTTTGAATAATTAAGAAAAGGTAACATGGAAAACCTTTCCCCACCCTCTCTCTCTCTCTCTCTGAACCCCAGAAAATTTCACCTACTTATAAAAATTATAAAATCGACACAAAAAAAGATAATGACAGACGGAGAAAATCAACTGTATCAGCTCAAGTTATTAAACTTTAAAAGATCATGGAAAGAATAGGTGGATAGAAAAACAATGATATCAAAGTAGACAACGTTGTAAAAGGAAATAGATAACCTGAAGAAAACGGTTAGTGCAAATATTCAAGTTTTAGAAGACGTGACTGATTTTCAGCCATGTCACTGAGACTTAGTCTTTAATTACCGATTCCCTTCATTTCGGGGATCCTAGTCAGGTTGTTTATATCTTTCAACATGGCTCAGACTAGTAGTCAGGGACTTCATCAACTGATACCAGGTCTAGCCACCCTGAAACCTCTTCTAACCTAATCCAGCTTCCTCTAGCATAGTATGTCGAGACAGACAGTGGCTCTGCATGCTCAAGCTTCATAACATTATCAATCAACTTGCCTGTCTTGAGTAAAACCCTTTCCTATGACCCCACCATTGTTCATATAGTGATCCCATCAAAACTCGGGCAATCTCATATGAAAGTGATGAATTGTGTCAATATATAAGAATAATTCATTTCCTACTGTGGTAATAACAGCTGAGAATAAGGTGCATTGAATTAAGTACTGAACTTTTGAAACAGTCTCCTAGGTTCGAGTCCCGTTCCATCTATCTCGATCTAGGAAATCAGGTATAGTATAAGTTTTTATATAATAAGAGTCTCTCATACCTAACATGAAACTTTTACAGCATAACGATGAATTCAATTAACTTACCAACTTGAATAGACTGTTCATGTACAAAATTCTCCAAAATATCTGTTAAACGTAAATGATTATCCTTTCGATTACAATTTGACTTCTTGTTTATCATTTTTGATGAAATCTTTTGAGATTCAGTAAATCTAAAAAAGAGAAGGCAAAAGAAGGATTTTATTTCAAGAATCATCTTCAATCTCTATAAAATGACTGAAGATATTAATCATAGATAGATGTATATCACTGATCGGAATAATCTTTATTCCTATGCATAATTTAACTTTAGTTTTACCACTTTTAATGGTTATAACAGTCATGTGATGTCAATGATTATTTATTATGATTATTATTTGTCCCTTAGGTTCCTAATGGAACGTAGATCTTCAGTTGCATGTCACCATTTCACTCTATTCTCTGCACTCTTTTCAACCTGGCTCCACGACAACCCATAAGCTCTCATTTCTTCCTCACACCATCTCCTCCTCCATGTCACCCTCACCTCGGACGCCCAACTCGTCGTTTCCCATTTGGGTTCCACTCGACAACCTGGTCTGGCCTGGAGCGTGATGTCTCCGGATGGTCTTCTCAGTGTATGCCCAATCCAATCCATCTTGACTTTCTTCTGTTTATTAGTAGTTGGGCGATGGGTCGTTGATTGGTTCGTTTTCAGGGCAGCCAGAGTCCTTTATTGCTTATGCTTTTTGGCCTTCTGATCTGATCTTTGTTACCAAGCATAGGCAGGTGTTGATGAATGTCTGTAGTTTGTTTGAAATGCTTTTCGTGACATGCCAAGTTTCTGAACTATATACAGCAGCACTGACTTTATACTTTATAGTACCGAAGAAGTTAGAATATATTCGTAATTTATTGGTTGAAATGAGCTACCCTAATAGTTTCATAAAAAGATACATAGACAAAGCCAGAGACAACAAACTTGGAATCATTGCCATACAAATGAAACTGTTGTTCATGAAATTGCAATTTAATGAAGATGAAGCCGGAGACGTTTGATATCAGAGACTATCTAGAGTCACTAAGAGGACTTTCTACACCGAACAACTCTGTCTATCATTTTCCAGACGGTCTATATGCTGCTGTGGAGAAAGCTATATAAGGAGTACTAATAGACAACTTAACAAACGTGTTACTGCGCATCTACCTTTATGGTTGGGAAAGGGGATAGATGAAATCCATCAGAAGTTCGGCTTTATTGCATCTCGTTGATAGTCACTTGGTAGATAAGAACAGTGGTCTCACGATTATTCACCATATACCATCTCATCTTTGAGAAGGTATTCGAACTCATCTTTTACACAGTGCAGAAGCTAATAATCCTAGTCTTTGTATCCAGAGGAAGTTAGCATATTCCTTATCTCTCCCTTTATTATTATTATTGTTTTCCCTTGGGTTCCTAGTGGAACATAGGGCTTTAGTAGCACGCCTTCATTGCACTCTCTTCTCTGCAGTCTTCAAAAACTAGCACCACGACTGCTCACAAGCTTTCATTTCTTCCTCGCGCGATCTCCTCCATGTCACCCTCGGACGTCCAACTCGTCGCTTCCCATCGGGGTTCCACTCGAGCAACTGGCCTGACGCGTGATGTCCCCAACCGGCCTTCCCAGTTTATGCCCAATTCATCTCCACTTCCTACTGCATATTTGTTCAGCGATAGGTTCTTGGTTAGTTCGTTTCCAGAGTTCCTTGTTGCTTATTGTTTCTGGCAATCCATCTGATTTCCAGTAGCGAGCGTAAGCAGTTATTGATGAATGTCTGTAGTTTATTGGAAATCCCTTTCGTAACGCGCCAAGTCTCTGAACCACGACATGGAAACACTGACTTGACGTTGGTGTTGAAAATCCGGATCTTGTTCACACTTTGTGCTTAGTGCAGAAGATCTCCACACTGGTTTCAGGCTAATGAACGCCTGTCTTGCTTTTCCGATTCTGGCTGGCTTTGACATCCTCGTCTGTGCCTGTGCCGCCTGTAGTTGAAACAGTGCTTCCTAGATAGGTGAAGGTTACTTCCTTTAAGTTTCTCCCATTCATGGTGACTGGAGTTTGTTGTTGTTGTTGGAGTTGTTGGTGCAGTATCTTCATCACTTCTGTCTTCTCTATATTCGCTTGAAGTCCCGTCTTCGCTGCCTCTTCTGTCAAGTTGTTAGTTTTTGCCTGTAGATCTTCAAGTTTGTGTGACATCAGGCGCAAGTCATCGGCGAAATCCAAGTCTTCTAGGTTCTTTTCCGCATCATGATATAATGAATTCAAATAATTTCTGAGGCAATAAGTCAGTTACCTCTTGACAACCTCAACTGAATAAAGTGTTATTGTAGTATCAGAAACGAATTATCTATCGCTTATCTTATGAAATCTATTGTATGTTGATATATTCAATCATATAATCCACGAGTAATATGATAAACTACACTGCTTAACTCTCTTACTATATTGCTAAGTAGCAGTTTAACTTCGAGTCACAGCAGTATATACTTATGTCCACTCGTTGAAAAGCAAAGAAAGAATAACTTACAGGAGAGTAAATTAACACTCATTGTCAAGTGATATATGAATGACAAGAAATTAAAAACGAAATAAAAATTTCAAGAATAACTTGATTGACAAAAGATATCAGATTGGTATTCATTATGGATTGATATCAATTGGAAAGCTATTGAAACCTGGACTTCTCAGAAGTCTGCACCATTGACCTCACCGGGAATCGAACCCAGAACCTACAGGTTCTGTCACCAGCACATTAACATTGACGTAATGATCCACAGTTTCCTACTTCTGTCAGTTAACGATACAGCACGACCTTCATCCAAGACTGTCCTCATATCCAACTTCGCTGGCTTCACTGATCATGACTCATCATCAGAACTTCAGGAATCCCTTGTCGAGGCGAGTTACCGATGAACACTAGATTAATTCAATATGGAGTGCTAGTGAGAAGTCATGACTGGTGAGACCAAAGTAAGCAAACATGAGGAGAGTTACTCAACGATGGTACTAAATGGAAGTCACGCTATATCATGAACTGATAGAAGTATGAAACTGTGACCAAAAAACCTGAAGGTCCTGAGTTCGACCCCCGGCGGGCTTATATATGCGCACTGCTCAGGGCTTCTATACTACAACGAAACAACTTCCAGTCAATCAATGTTTCTTCAACTGAGTCAATCCATAATGAAAACCAACCTAAAATCAATAAATAATTCCATCTAGCAAAGGTTGATAGGAAGTGAATTGACGACAAATCCGTATAGTGTCAACTAATTTCTATAGTTTATCCAACTGATAAATATCAGCATATACTGAAAAATATCAACACTAAGATTTCTTTGCAATGATAAGAATTTACAGAGAAGAACATCGAAGCCAGGATCCGAAAAGCAAGACCAGCGTTCATTAGCCTGAAACCAGTGTGGTGATCTTCTGCACTAAGCACAAAGTGTGAACAAGATCCCGATTTTCAACACCAACGTCAAGTCAGTGTTTCCATGTCGTGGTTCAGAGACTTGGCGCGTTACGAAAGGGATTTCCAATAAACTACAGACATTCATCAACAACTGCTTAAGCTCGCTACTGAAGATCAGATGGATTGCCAGAAACAATAAGCAACAAGGAGCTCTGGGAACGAACCAACGAAGCAAGAAGCTATCACTGAACAAATATGCACTGGAAGGAAGTGTAGATGGATTGGGCATACACTGAGAAGGCCGACTGGGGACATCACACGTCAGGCCAGTTGCTCGAGTGGAACCCAGATGGGAAACGAAGAGTTGGGCGTCTGAGGCGAGGGTGACATAGAGGAGGAGATCGTGTGAAGAAGAAATGAGAGCTTGTAGGCAATCGTGGAGGCAGGTTAAAAAGATTGCAGAGAAGAGAGTAGAATGGAGGCGTGCTACTGAAGCCCTACGTTCCATTAGGAACCCAAGGGACAAATAATAATAATAATAGTGGATAACGCTTTGGCATTTGCAGTGATGGGTACAAGGTTTGAGTCTTAATGGGAACAACATCACTTCGCATTAAGGTGTAGGTATATCCAGCTGAGTAGCCGGTCCCAAATAGGACGAAACGCTCATCTTGGATTCCACTACTAGCCACAACCAAGTAACTTATCATCATAAATATTCAGGTAATATATGAAAGCATTTGCATAGGAGTCTACAGATGTCGAACAATTTGATCAAGTAAAACAATAGAGTATTACAAGTATATCAATAAATAGTTATAAAATGCAACGCTTACAATTGTCGAAACTGATAACGAACAACTTCATCCCCATGATAGAATACAATACGTGCAGCCTTTACGCCAGATTTTAAGGTGAAAACAATGTTCTGAAGAAATTAAAATAAGAATAATTGAGATCTCTTTCATCATTGAAAAGTAGCAACTCATTTCTATCATCAACATCAACATAGGATCATGTATTACTACTGGGCAACGGTCGAAGTTACTATACCTCATATCAAATGAGAAAGTAGTAAAACAAAGGATGACAATTATAATAAACATAATGTGACGTAACATTTACCCCCCTGTGACATCGATTCTCAGCCATGTCACCTAATCTCCAACTACTGGACCCCCCAATTGGCTACTTTACATCTCTTTACATGGCTTAAACTAACAGTCAGAGATTCCATACAATGATACCATATTTCAATCCAGTCACCTTCAACTTCAGTTAACGTTACTCGATGAGGCAGACGATGACCAGGCATATGTACCACCTGTTCCAGTCGTATAATTTGATAAGAAGTTCACGGGTTCGAACATCGCTTCACCTATCGAGGTTCTCGGTAGTCAGGTAATAGTATTATTAGCGCTCATACATTAAAAAAAGGTGTGTAGCTTATTGTCTACTGTACGAATGTGCACAAGGTTGGTGAATACACTTCGGCAGCTTCAGTTAACAGTAAGCGGATTTCGGCAGTCTAAGAAAAAGTGGAAGCCACACTGCTGTAACAGACAATCTCTATCTCTCTGTTCCTTTTAAAAGATACTTTTTGTCTTGACAGCTCATTCTGATTCAATAAGTAAGGAGACCACACTATTGAGTACGGCGAAATTTTAAATTCAGGTAGCGCGATGTCAAGAAGATTTACATTTATCCTATACATGCGGAACTATAACTCATAGGATATTAGCACATCATACTCAATATAGCATGGTTACTGATTATCTCCACAACATTCCTGCAGTTTATCTTATGATGCCTAATCAATTCATGCGCTGTTTACTCATCCTCTCTTCAAGCTGAAAAAAACATTGAACTTTACCCATGTAAGACAGTGAAGGTTTTAGTTAATTATTGGATGGGTAACACCTAACTCGTTTCACTGTCTAATGTCTATCTCTCTCTACTGTCTATTAAGCATTTCCTAAAATTCCCAGTTACAAACAATAAGCAAGCTGATCAATTTATAGTAACTAAACAGCCTGGTGTTATGGATTGTATTATACCGTCGTTGATTGGACCGAGTTGATCGGTCTGGATTTCACTGCAAGCCACTATCCGTCTTTACTATAAATAGCCTGTTGTCAAACTTACAAATATAAGGGAGACCTAAGTCTTTGCAAGAACTGGCGTGGAATTATGTTCCTGTCCACCCCAAGTAAAATATTAAGGTGCATCATACTGGAGAGACTAAAAAAATGCTCTGCATTCAAAATTACGACCGAAACACGCTGGATTCAGGAAAATTTGGATTTCGACGATGATGATTTATGTCTAGTGTCTTGTAGCACAAAGTCGAAGATCTACAGACAAAAACTAAAAAGTTGGCAAAACAGGCAGGGCAGCAAAGACGGGACTTCCTTCAGGTGAACGTAGAGAAGACACAGGTGATGAAGATACCCAAATAACAACAAGCATCAATCACCATCAACGGGAGAAATGTAAACGAAGTTGTCTCTTTCACCTACCAAGGTAGCATCGTTCCAGCTACAGGCGGCAGCAAGGATGAGGACGTCAAAGCCAGGATCGAAAAGACAGTAAAACAGGTCTTCATTAATCTGAAATCAGTGTGCAGATCTACTGCACTGTACTGCAGTCAGTATAAAGAACAACATCCGGATTTTCAACACTAATTCAGTCAAATCAGCGCTTCTATATGGTTCAGAGACTTGGCGCGTTACAAAAAGCATTTCCAAAAAACTACAGACATTCATCAACAACTGCCGCCTACGCTCACTCAATACTCAAGATCACATCAGAAGGCCAACAACCTATCGCCCAACTACTAATAAACAGAAGAAGGTCAAGATGGATTGGATTGGGCATACGCTGAGAAGACCGTCCGGAGACATCATGCTTCAGGCCAGATCAGGTCGTCGAGTGGAAACCAAATGGGAAACGACGAGTTGGGCGTCCGAGGTGAGGGTGACATGGAGGAGGAGATGGTGTGAGGAAGAAATGAGAGCTTATGGGTTGTCGTGAAGCCAGGTTGAAAAGAGTGCAGAGAATAGAGTGAAATGGTGACATGCAACTGAAGATCTACGTTCCATTAGGAACCCAAGGGACAAATAATAATCATAAATAACCTGGCGAAAAATAACACAAATATAACATACATACCTGAGATTGTTTTGATCCAATTACCAATGCTTTCGGTTCAATAATAACACCACAATCAAAGTGTTCTTTAATATCATCCTGTTTTTCAAACTTCTGATCAAGCCATTCTACACGAGCATAGACCCAAGCAGATCTTGCACCAAAATTACTGATACTTATACTAGCTATACAGCATCCAGATAAATGACTTTTTGAAGAATGAAGAATTTCTCGATTTGATTTTTCATTAATTTCATAATCAACATCTATTTTAGAAGCTATAGTCCAGTAAACATTAGCACTCAATTTAGAACAGCAAGAATAAACCAATTGACTAGAGTTTGTATATCCAATTAACCTTACCTAAAACAAAAAGGGTGGAGAAGTAGATTTACCTAAAATGTTATCGTAATAAATAAATAAAACAAAATGATTGGTGGAACATTCAATCTTGACAGACTGAATTATTTACGGGACATACATCTCATCAAACTTATCATCAATATAATACTCACACGTCCCCCCCCCCTCCCCCACTCCGCCAACTCAAGCAAGTTTGGATTGGGATGTGACATCCTGACGAAGTAGCCAGTGTGAATAAGATCAAGCGATAGTAATGCACCACAAATTCACACGACATTCAGGTAAAACCTTAGGCGATTGAAGTAAGATAAAAAACAAGTTAGCAATCAGGTCTTGTAGCTCCGTTAGCTGAGTACGGGGTCGGAAATCCGCTTGTCGCTGTTTCGAATCTTCTTACAGTCCAACTTTTAATTTACTTTCAATCATTACCAGAGAGGGAAAAAGACAATTACACAGAAGGTGGTAAACCCTATGTAAAACTAGATTTTCATACAGAGTGAATCCTTCAGTACTTTAGTTTGACTAAGTGAATTCCCAAATTTAATAGCTTGGAAGTACAAATATAAGTGGAAATTGATGACTTCATCCATTAACATTCTTCTAGTACATATTATCGAAAATTGATGTTTAATTTGTAGATTACATAATCATTGACCCCAATCCACGTAATATTTATAGCTGGCGCGTTGCGAAAAGCATTTCCAACAAACTATAGACATACATCATACATACACCCACTACCTACGCTCACTCAATACTCAAGATCACATCACATCAGATGGATAGAATAATAAGAATCAACAACAAGAAACTCTGGATCGCCTGGCAACCAACCAACCAACAACCTACCACCTAACAAATATGCAGAAGGAGAAAGTAGAGATGGATTCCATTGGATTGGACATACACTGAGAAGACAGTCAGGGGACATCTCCCACCAGACGAGACCAGGCCAGGTCATCGAGTAAAACCCAAATGGTAAACGACGGGTTGGGCGTCCGAGGTGAGGATGAAATGTAGGAGGAAGAAATGAAAGCTTATGAGTAGTCGTAGATCCAGATTAAAAAGACTTCAGAGAATAGAGTGAAATGATGACGTGCTACTGAAGCCGTATGTTCCACTAGGAACCCAAGGGACAAATAATAATAAAATACCTATAGGAATTCGGAAGTCAAATAACACCTAACGTTTAGTAACCTTCAGTAGTCTGACAGTTGAGGCACATAAATAAAATCTAACAGGGACTGACAAGATATGCTATATATATATATATATATATATATATATATATATATATATATATATATATATATATATATATATATATATATATATATATATATATATACCGCATTGAACGATTGTACAATCCCCTTCAATATCACCACTATTGTCAGTCGATTTCACGAAAATAAGTAAATGTAGCACATTTGCAAAAGGTATGGATAAGTGCTGAAGTAAATATTATATAAAGCTTAGAACTAGTGATTCCATTTTGATGTTATGTCTGACGAGTCCTAAATGAGACAAATCACGCGTTTTAGATTCTTTTTACTGACCACTATCCATTATTAATAATCAAATCTGATTGTCTGTGAATGTATTTACTTAGTTCCAGTTTCTTGAAGCTCTTAAAGAGAAGATATTCCTTCTTTAACGTGTTTATGTTCTGTTGTCATTCATTGGCATTTTATTTAAGGCTGCTTACACTTTCAGGATCTTCTACATTCCCCCATGTATTCTCCTTGAACATAAGATTATGTGTATTGTGTGAGCTAGCCACCTAGCTTTATCTTTTCTCTCCGAGTCAATTGGTATGACGTTAGTGTTATGAGGATTAACTAGAGAACATAAGGATTTGGTGCGATAATAATAATAATGAGTTAAGAGTAGCATCCAGCCTTCAAGTTAACCCAAAATGAGGTTAAGATGAATATAACAATAGTCAAACCATTATTATTATTATTAGTCCCTTGGGTTCCTAGTGGAACATAGGGCTTCAGTAGCACGTCTCCAGTGACCTCTGTTCTCTGAGATCTTTTGAACCTGGTCCCACGACAGCCCAGAAGCTCTCATTTCCTCCTCGCACGACCTCCTCCATGTCACCCTTGGACGACCAACTCGTCGCTTCCCATGGGGATTCCACTCGAGTAACTGGCCTGACGCGTGATGTCCTCAGTCGGCCTTCTCAGTGCATGGCCAATCCATCTCCACTTCCTTCCAGTGCATATTTGTTCAGTGATAGGTTCTTGGTTGCTTCGTTCTCAGAGTTCCTTGTTGCTTATTCTTTCTAGCAATCCATCTGATTTCCAGTAGCGAGCGTAAGCAGTTGTTGATGAATGTCTGTAGTTTATTGGAAATCCCTTTCGTGACGCGCCAAGTCTCTGAACCACCACATAGAAGCACTGACTTGACGTTGGTGTTGAAAATCAGGATCTTGTTCACACGTGCTGAGTGCAGAAGATCTCCACACTGGTTTCAGGCTAATGAACGCCTGTCTTGCTTTTCCGATTCTGGCTGGCTTTGACATCCTCGTCTGTGCCTGTGCCGCCTGTAGTTGAAACAGTGCTTCCTAGATAAGTGAAGGAGGTTACTTCCTTCAAGTTTCTCCCGTTGACGGTGATTGGAGTTTGTTGTTGTTGTTGTTGATGGTGGTGGTGCGGTATCTTCATCACTTCTGTCTTCTCTATATTCACCTGAAGTCCCGTCTTAGCTGCCTCTTCTATCAACTTGTTAGTTTTTGCCTGCAGATCTTCAAGTTTATGTGACATCAGGCACAAGTCATCGGCGAAATCCAAGTCTTCTAGGTTCTTTTCCGCAGTCCAGTGTATCCCCCTCTTCTCGCTGCCTACTGTTTGCTGCATGATCCAGTCGACCACAATCAGGAATATCATGGGGGATAGTAGGCAACCTTGTTTCACTCATGTCTTCACTTCAAAAGCATCACTGAGCTTCCCATTGTGAATTACTTGGCATGTGGCATCTTCATATAGTTGTTGAATGAGGCGGATAAAGGTTTGCGGTACTCCGTAGTATTGAAGCAGTTTCCAAATTACTTCTCGGTCGACGCTGTCAAAGGCCTTCTCAAAGTCGATGAAGTTGAGGCAGAGAGCTGATTGCCATTCTATGCTCTGTTCTATGATGATGCGAAGCGTTGCAATTTGGTCCGCACATGATTTGTACTTCCTGAAGCCTGCCTGTTCCGGTCGCAGTTTTGAATCCAGTGCATCTTTAAGCCTCTCCAGGATGATGCGGCTTAATATTTTACTTGGGGTGGACAGGAGAGTGATTCTGCGCCAGTTCTTGCAAGCACTGAGGTCTCCTTTCTTCGGCAGTTTGACAAGGTAACCCTTCCTCCAATCGTCAGGTACCTTCTCTTCCCTCCACACCTTCTGCAATAGTGGTGTGAGCATATCCGCTGTTGTCTCTGCATCTGTTCTCAGTGCTTCTGGCGGTATTCCATCTGGTCCTGCTGCCTTCCCGCATTTCAGTAGCTTTATGGAATTCAGGACTTCCATTTTCGTTGGGGGATTTATGTTCACTTGTAATTCAGCGGCTGCAGGTGGTGGTCGATTCAAGAGCTTCTTGAAGTGGTCGGCCCATCGTTTCCTCTGTTTGTCTTCTTTTGTAATTAAATTTCCTTCTTCATCTTTTATTGGTTTCATCTGTGTTGGTCTCTTCCCTGATAGTAACCTGGTTATTTGATACAATGTTGTCAGGTCTCTCTTACCAGCCGGCAGCCTGTTCTGCTTCACTTGCCAGTGTTTCGTAGAAGTGTCTTTTGTCTTTGCGTGCACTCTTCTTCACTTCTTTGTCCAGTGTTTTATACATTGTGCTCAGTTCCTCTTGTCGTTGAGCATCCTTGCACTGGTTTATCTTCTGCTTCACCATCCTACTCTCACTGCTCTATCAGCTTCCATGTATCCGTCGAGATCCATTCCTTGTCTTCTTTCTTCTTCCTTCCTAATACGGTTGTGCAGGTTTCTTTCCACATAGCTTTCAAAGACTTCCAGTGTTCTTCCACACAGGTTTCTTCAGGGATGTTGCTCGATGTCTCCCATTTTGTCTTGATGGCTGCCTTGAAGATCTCCTTTGTAGTTTCATCCTTCAGTTTCCGAGTGTTGTACTTGAATTGAGGTCTATCACCAGCTTCCTTGAAGGCTTTTAACTTGATTTGGAAGGTTCCTTGCACTAGATAGTGGTCTGAACCTACATCTGCTCCTCTTCTTGACCTTGTGTTCAGTAGACTGCGTCTCTATTTTCTTGAGATTGAGATAAAGTCGATTTGATTTTTAGTGTGTCCATCTGGTGAAATCCATGTCGCTTTGTGGATATCTTTGTGCCTGAACACGCTGCCTCCAATCACCAAATCGTTGAATGCGCAGAATTCTGCAAACAATTCTCCATTCTCATTCATTTCACCTAGCGCCTCTCGACCCATGGTTAGTTCTCTTCCCGTGTTGTCCCCTCCCAGTTTGACATTCATGTCGCCCATTAGAATTTTGATATCGCCAACTGAGGTGGTGTCTTGTCCAGTGTTGATTGAAGTTGTCTGTAGAAATCCTCCTTTTTCTCTTGTTCTGCATTATTTGTAGGTGCATAACATTGTATGATTGTGACCTTTCTTCCTTTTGAGTTGAATCTTGCTGTCATGATCCTGGAGGAGATTGGTTCCCACTGCATGAGAGCCACTCCATAACTCAGTGTGCTCGTGGTTGTCGTCTGGGTGACCGGAGTAGATTATTGATTCTCCAGTTGACAGTTTGGAGAGTCCACTCCCATTCCATCTGCTTTCGCAAATCTCAAGCACTTCGATGTGATACCTTCTCATCTCCCTTGCAATCTGGGCTGCCTTACTGGGTTCAAACATCGTGCGGACATTCCATGTCCCCACGTTTACTTTCGCTTTCATCGAGAGAAGACACATCGGCCAATTGGCTTCCCGAAGGCTTTCACCAACTGGCGTCATTTCGCCTCTCCGATTCCAGCGGGGAATAAGTTTGTTTTCACTTTTTATATTTTGTTTGTGCTTTGAAGTTTCTTTAGCGGTTAGATTTGTTTTACGGGGTAGGGTTGCTAGCCCTATGCCCAACCTTCCCTCTTTACCCGGGCTTAGGACCGGCTAGTAACTAGTAAACTAGTTAACCAGGCGAGGATATAACAGACTCATCACACACTAAGCAAGTTTTTAGAACGGTAATAAGGATCCATAAAAAAATTTAACAAATGAAAAGTATTTACAATAAGAAACTGAAGCACTTTAAACGCAAGATATGTACAAAGTTTTTAATACTGTTTGTCACTCTGATAGTGGTCAACAGGAGCCTCAAAAAATCTAGAGATCGCTGAAGAGTGAGAGAAAACGTATAATATATATATCATACAACATTTAATTCCCTAGACAAATTTGAATAATACAAAAACAAAGACATTTAGAGAATAAAATGAGCTCATTTTATTTCATAGACTTTCATCAGCTGCAAACAGCCTACAAATGAAATGAATTACAGACAATAATCATGGGATAACATACTTTAAATATGTAGAAATGAATAGAGATCTAAAATCCCGGATTAACAATAAGGTAGTGAATGAGACAAGGAAACAAGAGATTAATAGTTACATATCTTAGTCAAAATCTATGGTAAGTTCTGGAGCTATGGAGTGGAGGGGAATAATAAACAAAAATCAATGTGAAATAAGGAACTGTTTAAGGGTTATTAGATTACGTAATCACATGAAAATCGCTAAGTGATTAATATTCGGCAAATAATTACTAAGATGATGCAATCAAAAGAAAAGGGAAGACTATATACATTCATGTGTAAAAAAAAACTATATACAGTTACCAAGGTAAAGAAAGGCTAACTACGGTCTCTTTCTAAGTACATAGGTCAGGGTGAAAATATTTGATAGCTGGAGCTACTACAAACCATAATAAACATGACGTTGTTTCCATCAGATACCTGATGATTATGCTTTTAAAGACCTTGCTACCATTCAGACATAGATTTCTCGGAAGATGTTCATAAAATTGAGTAGACACTCACTCTTCTTTCAGTCAATTCTATGTACTTGCTTTCACAAGCACAGGTGAATTGATATACGCAGTTGGAGGTGATGTAAGATGGGTATTTATCTACTTCCAACTGTTTTATTGAGGATAATGTATTGTAAACTGAGATCAGTCTACAAGCAGTGAGACTTCTTATCAGTGGAGATTTTATTCTTCTGTCTATTCTTTCAGATATCTCATCACGTTTGAATTCTAGACGAAGGAAAAAAACAGGTTTCTCAACAGTTGAATGTTTTCGTCTCTCAATAAATTCTTTTCTATGCTTCATGATGAATTTCTTCGGATATCCAATGTTTATGGGAGCCTTGTCAATTATCCCAAGTTCTTCTTCTTATTTATCTTTTGAGCACAGCGTTTTTATTCTAGTGAATAGAGTCCTAACTAAAGTATGTCATTTCAAATTCAATTGTAGGCTTCAATGAGTACTTTGTAATCGATGTTTGCATCACTGGTAGTCAAGTGAATAGCGTGTATATATGAGATAAAGGGGGGAGGAGGTAGGTAGGGAATAGATAACTCACTTTTGAAGTAGAACTACGTAGTTCATCTTTTAATCGTAAATGTAGGTAACCAAAATTCCAGGAAACTGGATGTGTTGCCACATAAGCCACATTAACTTCATACTCAAGATTCGGTGGTAAATGTACACGGAAAATTCCTGTTATAAGATAACCATTTTCATCAACAAGCTTGAAATGAGAAGAGAACAGCATTGATAAGATTAGTATATGAAATGATTTTTGTGCATACTACTGTATCATAATATCATAAATAGGCAGTACTTATTTGCTTGGAGGTATCTTCTTACTATCGATTACAGAGATTAAAAATTCCAATGATTTTGTCCCGGTACACCAGTGATCAGCTACCTTGATTCAAACGAATGAAATAGTCATCTGATGTTAACATCAACTCCCATTTGATTGGCTGGCATAATCTACAAATCGGTCTAAATGATCTTAGACTACTGAAGTTTCTCAGTAGTACTATCTTCCTCTATATCATGACACTTTTGTGTTGCACATCATAACCTTATACCCTTGGCTGGACAGAATAGTTTTCAGCGGAAACCATGTTAATATAACAGATGGGCAGTTAAAAAGCTACTCAGGTAAAAAAAATGTCAAACTGAACCATGTAGTATGTAAATCATTTGCAAAACGAAAAAAATTCTTATTATAAAATCAGTAACTAAACAAATAATCCTTGAAGATTTTGCATAGTTCCTCGTAAAACAGAAGGAAGCTATAAAAACGATAAAAAAATGTATTGTCAAGTCAAAAAGTTGAAGGTATTTATATGCTTTCAGTGGTATTGATACTTTCAACACATTTCTAGAAGGACATACAGACAATCTGAAGCTCACATGTGTGATACCGTGGCATTTAGAGAATATTCAACGTACCGTGATTAGTTATGAAATCTTAAAGAGAATTTTTAGCTTGCTTGAGGAATCGAAGAGATAAGGATGCATTTCAGAACGATTCTAAAGGTAATAAACCAATCATTAGGTTGATATAGTTGTAGTGAAACTTAATGGTACAATTTAAAGCTATATATATATATATATATATATATATATATATATATATATATATATATATATATATATATATATATATATATCAGTAGTCTGTAGGGGAATTATTCATGCCCATTTATTTCCAATAAGTTGTACTGCTTTATCTGGGTTTTGAATTTTGAGGGAGTTGTGGGGATTTGGAAACATCTCAAGTTGTTATTCATCGTAGACTGACATCACTTGGACGAATAAAGGAAACCTGGGAGCACTGCACAGCTGTTTCGTCCAACTAGTATGGGACTCCTCAGAAGTGCGCACCCACGAACCAGCGATCTTCAGATTCCGTGGCCAGCATGTTACCATTGAGCCACTGGGTCAGAATCCAGTGGTCCATATTTTCAACTTCTGTTAGCTCACGATATAGCTCAACCGTCAGCCAATGTCATCGTTGAGTGACTGTCATCACGACCATTAAGCTTTGCCCCCACCGGTCACGACTTCTCATTGGAACTTGGGGAATACCTCTCGAAGCTAGTCACCAATGAGCACCAGTTCAATTGAATTTTGAGGGAGTTATTCATCGTAAACTGATATTAGTTAGAGGAACAAAAGAAATCTGGGAGCACTGGAAAGCTGTTTCGTACTAGGACGAATAACAACTTGAAATATTATCTGGATTTTATCGACATACGACAGTTTTATGCCTCCGAAAATTGTCATCATCATTTGACAAGCAGACAGAAGTAAAATACAATTTGTACACACAGTTATATTTCACAACCAAGAGAACAAGAAGTATTTGATCAACAGAAAACGAAATCCATAAATGATAACAAATTTAAGCTGAAAGAGTTAAGGATCTAGGTAACAATGTATCCATTTATTTCATCAAGTACCACCGCACGAAGGGACGAAGAGATGTACAGTAAGTATTTCGTCAAGAACGAACTATGATTCAAGTTATGCATTCGAGTCAAGTTTATAAATCCACCACTTAATGGCTGACTGCGTTACCCCATACTTTTTGACTGGACATCGTTTCAACTACAGGTGGCACAGGCACAGATGACAATGTTAAAGTCACACAGGATGGGAAAGACAACAAAACAGGCTTTTATTAATCTGAAATCAGTGTGCAGATCTATTACACTCAGCATAAACAACAAGATCCGGATTTTCAACAGTAATGTCAAGTAAGTCAGTGCTTCTAAGTGATGGTTGAGAGACTTGGTGCGTTACGAAAAACATTTCCAACAAACTATAGACATACATCATACATACACCCACTACCTACGCTCACTCAATACTCAAGATCACATCACATCAGATGGATAGAATAATAAGAATCAACAACAAGCAACTCTGGATCGCCTGGCAACCAACCAACCAACAACCTACCACCTAACAAATATGCAGAAGGAGAAAGTAGAGATGGATTCCATTGGATTGGACATACACTGAGAAGACAGTCAGGGGACATCTCGCACCAGACCAGACCAGGCCAGGTCATCGAGTAAAACCCAAATGGTAAACGACGGGTTAGGCGTCCGAGGTGAGGATGAAATGTAGGAGGAAGAAATGAAAGCTTATGAGTAGTCTTAGATCCAGATTAAAAAGACTTCAGAGAATAGAGTGAAATGGTGACGTGCTACTGAAGCCCTATGTTCCACTAGGAACCCAAGAGACAAATAAAATAAGATAATAATGATGACTATATTGTGATAGAAAGTAAAATACTGAAAATTATCATTAAATTTTATATATTATAAGTTTACTACTCAGTAGAAAACGTTAAACGAAGGGGAAAAGACACTTACTTTGAACACCTCTGATTTAGGATGAATTGCGAATGATATTGTCACCGGTCTATCCAATTGATGTTTGATAAGGAAATGCTGTCGACTGAAAAGATAACAATTAACAAATAAACACAGGTCATAGAAAACATATACGTGAAAACTGATAGTTGTATGAAATACTTTTTTTTAATCTATCAAAAAGGCGATTACATTGCACTGCCGTCCATTCTATCCTGCTATACGACAGAGATATGGTTGTTACAAATAAAAGAAATGAAGCGGTTCCAGAGCTTTGACCATACGTGCCTTCGTAGCATTGCGTACATTTGATGGAATCACTTTGTGAGCAACAATGAGACCAGGCGAAGGGTACTACGCAACACAGGCAAGTCGATTGATGAAGTTGTCAACGTTAGTCAACTGAGATGGCTACGACGTATACTATGCGTACTTAGTCACCGGCTACCTCGATGTGCCATGCTAGTGGAAGTTGGAACAGGTTAGAAGAGGGTTCAGGGTGATCAGGCCAAGATATTGCACAAGTCCATAAAATCATCAATTGTTGGTCTGAGTCGTGTGGTCAAATATAGATTGCTTGGTTGGGGTCCCGGAGATGAGAGGGATCAGTGATTGAGAACATGGCTGAAAATCGGTCACAATGGTAGAGATCTATTCACCCCTTGCCGTTTTCTAAAGCTTAAATATTTTTACCAACCGTTATCTTCAAATTGTTTATTCTCTCACACAACTTCATATATTTTGATATCACTCCTTTCCTATACACCTGGTCATTGTATCACTACTTTGATGTCTGGCAACTTTAGCCGATACAGTTCCACGCTGATTTTGTTTGTGTGAAAACGATCCTAACAAAGGAATATAGGCAACTGAACATGAAACTCTTCAGATTATAGTAGTAGTTTCGGGATATACCATAAATGAGGCTATCCTCAATTGAATGAATGATTAATTCCAATCCATAATCCTAGAATATATTTTCCTCTAGAGGATATTACAGACGTTTCACAATGTAACAAATTCTCATCGTCATACTGAAGGAAACGAGAGGACAGAGACGAAGGTACACCTTGCTCTAAGATAGTCATTTACATAATGTGCTTCATTTCCTCTACCCCTTCTCTCTTAATTTACTCTTCATACGCTAACAATGTCTTTTGCGTTTCTCTTGGCGGAATCCTTACCTACTGCTGGTAACTGCCTATGATTTCTGCCACCCTCTCAACATATACTACTTATATCCATCCTTTTTTCAGCAACACTCACTACAATACGATAAACTTAAGCATTAGGACACTCTTGCATATTTAATGAAAAATCTTAAACACATCAGTTTTAAGACATCTATCGGTTGAGTCGTGGTAACAATAAAAAAAAACTAGGAATAAAATGAAAACAAATGGTTCAGCGGAGAAATTTTTGTTGATGTGAATGTAAACACCTAATTAAGCACAACAACGAACAAAGTGATATATTTCTTTCACCATAAAATAGTAAAAATATTTATCTGTACTGAGTGATGATTGAATATGAAATGAAGATTTGAATTGCGATCGGATTCGAACCAGTAACCACTGGGGTTTCTGGCCTGATGTTCTACCAACTGAACTATGAAGTCATAAGAAGGGAAACCTCATCATCATTATCCACATAGGACCAGGCATTACTGCGTAACGGTCCGAGTTGCCACACCTCATATCAGCACATCAAGTAAAGAGGTAGTGAGGTGAAGGATGAAGATAAGGGAAGGGAAACCTGATAGTCGATGGTTTGAATTTGAAAAGTAATAGTAAGAAGTTAAACTGTCAGGATTGCTAAAATTAGTACATACTGCTCAAGATATTCAAAGATGATGAAGTTTGAATAACAATTTGAGTAACATGAAAAAGTGTCTAGTGAATGAGCTACTTTCAAGGTAAGCATAGTACGGTACAGTATAGTATACAAATGTATACGTTATTGCATAGCTGAATGAATGAAACCGCTGAAAAGAGTCTTCGCTAAACTACTTGTATTCATTTTCTTAAGTCTTTATAGGAATTTTGTGGAATAAAAACGATTAACAGGAAGTAATGGACTGATATAGTGAGGTTATCAACCTTCATTTGCTTAAATGGCTATGACATTACGTATGTCAATTCACCGTCTACCTTGTCGCATAATACTACTTGAAGTAGGTTTATGCTAGGAAAAGGTTAGATGTAGCCAGAATAGAGTAGAGAATTGACTGACAAAATGAATGTAGAACCTAATACACAACTCCATCGGTTCAAGTTGTCACACTTCACAGTACTATACAAAGAACGCGAGGATAAAATAAAACTGATATCAAGGTAGACAAGTACATCTGCGCCATTGTGACCGATTTTCAGCTATATCACCAACAATCAGTCTTCAACTACTGATTCATTTCACCTTGGTGACCCCAATCAGACAGTCTACATCTCATCACATGACTAAGACCAACAGTTAAAGACTTCATAGACTGGCGACACAGAAACCTCCCAGTATGGCACATCAAGGTAGGCGGTGATTCGATATGTGCAACATATGTCACAGTCGCCTCAATTGACTAAGGTTTACAACCTCATCAACCAGTCCATGAAGTCTCTCAAGAAGAATGTAAACTTTGTAATTTCGATTTTTATGACAGACAAAATCAGTAGTTGGATAGTTCAGACGATGCCGCTTATAATCAAGTTCAGCAGTGTAGATGAATTCGTACATCATCTGTCTTCATCTTAATCGTCATATCGAATTTCATCACTGTTTTACTCACCTCTTCTTATAACTTTCTAATAATTTTGATTACCTTATTCCTCGATATCATCGTGGTGACACCTTCTACCAGTAATGCCAGGTTTCATGTTGATATTGACTGAAATATATATAGCGCAATTTTCTTATCTTAATACTAATTATACATAATGCTTAGGCAGTGGAATACAAGACGCATATTTCGTCCTATTTAGAACCGACTCATCAGCCGAAAGTACCAGCCTCCCAGTGAGTTCCCATCAAGACTTCGACCCAAGAAAAACGCTAGCCTACCGAATCATCATAGCCACTTCCTTTACGATGAGTAAACTATAGTTTTCGTGATTTTATGTCTCCGTTGTTAGCATATGAGCTCCTCTGTGTAGATGCCTCAATGCTGTCGGTATTTTCACTTTTGATATTAATGATGGATAGTAGCTAACAGTGGAATCCAAAAAGCGTTTTTTTGTCTTATTTAGGACTAAACTAAAGTAAACGAAAATATAAATAAATAAAGTTAACAACCAAAAACAAGCTGATGATATTTTGTACTGACAGTAAGTTTATGTCGAACTGAGAAGTGTTTAATATGAAAAAAGAAACCCTACATTTTATCGCATCACATTTCAATCTGTCAATAGGTAATATGTTCGGTAATATGTATGCTGAATGAGCAGTATAATTGATGAATAAATTACTTACTGTATCTGTCCACATATTGCACCAGACCATATTAAACAGTTAGTATTCGATAAGATGGGAACCTTTTGCAATTTAGATACTTCTAAAGAAATAATATTTGTCTTTGGATTTATACACTCTGATGATTGAACTGGATCTGAATGTTGAGTTATATTGTCTTTCATAGAACAAGATGTATTCATAGGTGGTATATTCTCTTTCATTGTTTCCAACTAGAATAACAAATAGTCATAACAAAAATAAAGATGATAGTTTCAATTGTGACTAAAATAGGTTATCGAAGAAACAAAACAAAAAGGTATCAATCAAATTTAGAATCGAATCAGTCTTATATGGGGTTGGTTGTAGTTTCTCCAATTATTATTATTATTATTTATCCCTTGGGTTCCTAATGGAACATAGGGCTTCAGTAGCACGCCTCCATTCTACTCTCTTCTCTGCAATCTTTTTAACCTGCCTCCACGATTGCCTACAAGCTCTCATTTCTTCTTCACACGATTTCCTCCTCTATGTCACCGTCACCTCAGACGCCCAACTCTCCGTTTCCCATCTGGGTTCCACTCGAGCAACTGGCTTGGTGCGTGATATCCCCGAATGGTCTTCTCAGTGTATGCCCAATCCATCTTCACTTCCTTCCAGTGCATATTTGTTCAGCGATAGGTTCTTGTTTGGTTCATTGCTGGAGTTCCTTGTTGCTTATTCTTTCTGGCTATCTGATCTTCAGTATCGAGTGGGAGTAGGTAACTGTTGATGAATGTCTAGTTTGCTGGAAATGCTTTTTGTAAAGCGTCAAGTCTCTCAACCATATAGCAGCACTGATTTCACTGAATTAGTGTTGAAAATCTGCATCTTGTTCACGCTTTATGCTGCGTGCAGTAGATCTCTACACTGGTTTCAGGTTGATGAACGCCTGTCTTGTTTTTTTGATCCTGGTTGCTTTAACGTCCTCGTCTGTGACTGTGCCGCATGTATTTGAAACGATACTACCTAGATAGATAAAAAGGGCTACTTCCTTTAAGTTTCTCCCATTGATGGTGATTGGAGCTTGTTGTTGTTGGTAGTGGCGTTGGTTGGGTATCATCATCACCTCTATCTTCTCTACGTTCACCTGAAGTCCCATCTTCGCTGCCCTACCTCTTCTGTCAATTGGTTAGTTTGTGCCTGTAGATCTTAAAGTTTGTGCGACATTAGACACAAGTCATCGGCGAAATCCAAATCTTCTAGGATCTTTTTCTCGGTCCAGCGTATCCCCTCTTTTCTCGCTCCTCACTGTTTGCTGCATGATCCAGTGCACCACAATCAGGAAGATCAAACTTAGCGATAAATTCTGTGACTTTGGTACTAAGTTTTGCCAATTGCATATCTTCAAAGGTAAATGAATCACCGGCACTTTTAAACTTCAAACACCAATCGAATAATTCCTAGAGACTTAATATTCATTTAAACGATTGTAAACCTGTTATGATGTGGAGTTGTGAGAACGAACGGAAATAGTTAACGATTGGTAGTCGAGGATTGAGATGATGCAATCCAAGTGATTCGCAAAGAGAAATCAAAAGACTGGAAAACCAGATGAGTTTATAGTATCTCGGACTGAAGCGTTTATGAATGAAAACTGACCCTACTTATAGAGTTTACAATAACCTTGAAAGACAAGGAATCATTAGTACATTTAAAGAGTCAGCAGCCAATCAGAACAATGGCGAGTCATACGAAATATGATCCATGCGTGGGAAAAGAGTGCGAATAAATAGTTTAAATATATACAAAACTGTAAGTGTGGAATATGAGGGATATAGGCATCCCAAACAAAACCGTGTTACACTATTGGTTTGTTTATTGAATGATAATCAAATATCTTTCATAACCGGCTCAGAACCGAAGTCAGTGGCGCAGATGTATACACACATTATCTTCATCTTAACAACGCTATACTGAATCTCACCATTTTGTCACTCCTCTCTCCTTTCTTCTCGTACTTTATATTTCTTTTAACTGCATTCACTTATCTTCATCCTTCACCTCACTACCTTTTTACTTGATGTGCTGATGTGAGGTGTGGCAACTCGGACCGTTACGCAGTAATGTCTGGTCGTATGTTGATAATGATGATGATGATTTCATAACCGGATGTAGCATTTGTTTATGTAACGTAAACCTTACTCTAGTAGCCGGTGTTCAGAGACAAACAATTATTCAATTACGAGGTTGTTGGGGATTTATTCATTATGGAGAACCACTGAAAACCTGAGGTCACTGGATTCCCAATGTTGAGGAGTCCATGCTAGGATGAAACTGATGTCTCACTTCATGGTGAATATCAACCTAAAATCAATGAATAATAAATCCTCATAAACCTTTAAAATGACTAACTTCGAGATGAGGTTGTCAAAGTCCTAATGAAAAGTCATGAAAACTGTTACTCAACAACAGTAATAGATGGAGATAGTACTACATACTGTGAACTGACAGTATTGGGAAATGTGAACCAATGAATACTGACCCACAGGCTTAATGGCCCTAGGTTCTATCACTGGCGGGATCATGAAGAATCTCATACTAGGATGAAACAGCTGTTCACAACTCTCAGATTTCCAATGCTTCCTCAAATTGATATCTCACTCCATAATGAATATTAACCTGAAATAATTTTTTACTTTTATTATTATTTATTATTTGTCTCTTGGGTTCCTAATGGAACATAGGGCTTCACTAGCACGTCTCCAGTGAACTCTGTTCTCTGAAATCTGTTGAACCTAGCTTCACAACAGCCTAAAAGCTCTCATTTCCTCCTCACACCATCTCTTCCTCTATATCACCCTCGCCTCAGACACCCAACTCGTCGTTTCCCATTTGGGTTCCACTCGAGCAACTGGCCTGTCAGGTGATATCCCCAGTTAGCCTTTTCAGTGTATGCTCAATTCATCTCCACTTTTTTCTTTTGCATATTTGTTAGGTGATTGGTTCTTGCCTCGTTGGTTCGTTCCCAGAGTTCCGAATTTTTTCTTTTTTTTTTACTTTACTCAAGGAAATAATATATGAAAGCAAAACGTTTAAGGCTTACCTTAGATACTGGGAAATTTGATCGTTTTCCATTGAGACTAGAAAGTTTCTTACTGGAATCCGTTGTATTATTATTATTATTAGTAGTAGTAGTAGTAGTAGCAGTAGTAGTAGTAGTAGTATTGTTATTATTATTATTATTACGATTATTGACAGTAGGTTTCAATACTTGCCTGACAGCAGCTAACTGTTTTGTCAATTGTGAAGATAATTTATCATATTCAACTGTTAATTTTGATCCAGTTTGTTTACTTTTAGCTGTAATCATATCGAGTAAATCATCGATGTCAGACATATGTAAACAGCTAATATCATATTGTGATATATCTGGTTGATTAATAGAATCATCTTTCAATTTTAAACTATCCGTATCAATGATATTATTCATTGTTTGTTGAGTATTTAAAGTTTGATCGGATACATTATCTTTTGATATTTGTGGGGTTGTCTGTAACTTAATATTTGTAGTTGTATATTTCAAATCATAATTGTCTGTATAATTCGATAAAGTATTCTTTATATCATCAACTGATGAGTATGATACAATGTTATTTGCCTTTACAAATGATGTTGTTGTACACAATTTAGGTGGTAGACAATTATTATTTAACTGAAATCAATAATTATAACAAAAAAAAATACACAAGATACGATTTAATATAATGTAGCATTATACAATATATCCATTCATTTATCCATATAAATCACCATAGGACCAGGAATTACTGTGTAACAAACCGAGTTGCCACACCTCATATCAGTACATCGCACCATACAATTCGGTGTTGAGCCATATCGCCTACAGTCTGTCTCCAACCACCGGTGTATCTAGTCCCACCGACCCCAACTAACCAGTCTGCATCGCTCCCCCCCCCTCATATGGCTCAAAACAACAATCAAACAATTCATATATTGGTGCCATCTCTTACTCTAGTCGCCTCCAGCCTTTCTTCAGCCTCAAACTACTTCGACCAACATTATGTGATGAGGCAGACGGCGACTAGACATACGTAACATATGCCTCAATCAGCCACCTTAGTCGATCAAGGTTCACAACCAAATCAACTGACTTACTTCTACTTCTTCTCACTCCTAAAACTCTACACCTACACCTGTCTTCTATGTTACTCACACGGTGATACCACGGAATACGACCTATACTATACTACGAAGGCAAAGGTAGTCAAATAACACCTGAAGCCTTCTCATGTCTTCCACCTTCAATAGCCATGTTTCTTAGCCACTTTTAAAATACAATCGGATATCACGGTGGCACCACAAGTGGTGTAAGTTGGCAAAAGCCAGTTGAGCCTTGTGTATTCGTGTAGAGATTTCATCGGTCACTGAGCCAACACAGCAGGGTTGATCCCACATCCTAGATAAGTGTGAAGTGTTCAACACACTCAACCACTACACTCATTCTCTATTGTTAGCCGTGGCACCATTCAAAGAATGTTTGGTATGCGTTTCTCATCAGCCAAATGCAAATTTCTGCTCCAGGATTCGTCTTCAACGGTGCCACGGCTAACAATAGAGAATGAGTGTAGTGGTTGAGTGTGTCGACAACGGCGGCTTCACAGGTGGCGTAAGAAACAATATATAACTTAGGGAAATGAATATTGAGACATCACTCCAAATACTCTGCAGATTTCAACAGTAAGATTAGACTGCGATGTGAACCCTTATTGACTCTGTCACTTCTGTACGGCTGAGTATAATAACCGTGTCGAAAAAAAGTTGAAATGCACTACTCACCAACCACTTGAAGAGTTGAGCAGTAGACAATAGGCCACACAAACTTCTGGGGGCTGAAGATACTACCTAGCTGGTCAAACCACAGTAGGTGAAGCGGAGCTTGGATCCACGACCTATTGGCTGAAAGCCATCTTCGTAAGCCAATGACCCACAGCACAATAACCGGTTATTATTACCATTATTTGTCCCTTGGGCTTCAATAGCACTTCGCCATTCCACCCTCTTCTCCGCAGTCTTTTTAACCTGGCTCCACGACTACCCAGAAGCTTTCATTTCCTCCTCACACCATCTCTTCCATATCACCCTCGCCTCGGACGCCCAACCCGTCGTTTACCATTCGGGTTCCACTCGACAACCTGGCCTGGTCTGGTGCGAGATGTCCCCTGACTGTCTTCTCAGTGTATGTCCAATCCAATCGAATCCATCTCCACTTTCATCTACATATTTGTTAGGCGATAGGTTGTTGGTTGGTTCGTTGCCAGGCCATCCAGAGTTTCTTGTTGTTGATTCTTGTTATTCTATCCATCTGATGTGACCTTGAGTATTGAGTGAGCGTAGGCGGTGGGTGTTGATGATATATGTCTGTAGTTTGTTAGAAATGCTTTTCGTGAAGCACCAAGTCTCTCAACCATCACTGACTTACTTGACATTGGTGTTGAAAATCCGGATCTTGTTGTTTATACTGAGTGGAGTAGCCTGGAATAGGTCTCTACACTGACTTCAGATTAATGAAGGAAGGTCTTTCTTGCTATTTTTCCGATCCTGGCTGTTTTCACATCCTCATCTGTGCCTGTGCCGCCTGTAGTTGAAATGATACTGCCTAGGTAGGTGAAAGAGACAACTTCCTTTAGGTTCTCCCGTTGATGGTGATTGGTGCTTCTTGTTGTTGGTGGTTGGGTATTTTCATCATCTGTGTCTTCTCTACGTTCATTTGAAGGAAGTCCCGTCTTCGCTGCCTCACCTCTTTTGCCAACTTGTTGGGTTTCGACTGTAGATTTTCAAGCTTGTGCAGCATAAATCATCGGCGAAATCGAAATCTTCTACGGTCTTTTCATCGGTCAAATAGCGTATGCCCATCTCACTTTTCACAGTTTGTTCAATGATTCAGTCCAGTTCAGTCGACCAAAAGCAGGAAGATCATCGGTGATAGTAGGCGGCAACCTTTTCTTACTCCTGTCTTCACTTTAAAGGCATCAATGAACTTTACGATAACCGATACGGATAACTTTTAGCCTCGCCTAATCCAACTAACTAACCGAAATGAATAATCGTGGTATTTTTTAAAATGTATCGCTAATTTACAAATTAGACGTTTCCAACTACGAACCTACTGATACTGTATAGCTATGATGATTGTCAATGTGGACAGTGTTATTTATAAAACCTTTACAAATTGATTGTAAACATTTTGAAGAAAACTATTCTTTCTATGAAGAACAATATGAGGTTAGGGTTAACTGCCTTTATTGATGAATCGTGGCTAGCAGTGGAATCCAGGATGCGCATTTCATCCTATTTGGGACTCGTCAGCTGGATGTTCCTGCCTCCCAGTGAATGATGTTGTTCCCACCGGGATTCGGACTCGGGAGTGACCGCTTCGAACTCCAGCGCGTTATCCACTGCACCACCTAGCCACGATAGCCACTTCTTGTGCGATGGGTATAGTTCTTAGTATACTTGTTTTTTATATGATACCGTCGTGGGGACAATATCGAGGCATCCATACAGGAGCCCATATGTCAATAGAGACCGATCAATTCGGTCCAATCAACGACGGTATCATATAAAAACGATTATACTAATAACTGCCCTTGTTTAAATTAAATTGAATAATGAACTGAAATAAAGAGAATGTAGTATCAGTTACCGAATCAAAAGATTCCTAATAATTCTATCCTCAGTCAGAAAACCAGTCATTGCATATCCTGATATATATACCTTCAAATAACAAATTAACCCTCCGAACGAAGTAGATTGCATCATACTTTATGAATTTAAGCATATCAATTGTCACAGTTAACTATAAGGATGTATTTAGCTGAACACTATCGATTCCCCTGCCTCCCAGTGAGCAATATTGTTCCCACTAAGCCTCAAACCTGGGACTGTTTGCTTTAAGCAGCAAATCGTTATCTATTATCCATCCATTAAGATATAATTGAAACATAGACAACATCGAGGCATCCATGCAGGAGTTCATATGTCAATAGAGATCAATCATAATGAGGTTCATTCAACGATAGAATAATAAAAGTAACAACATTAAAAAAGTAAAACATTTATAAATAGCGTACTTTTGTTTTATTTGCATTGATTTCCAAAATAGATGATATATCTTTAAGGCATGGTACCTGTGTATATTGTTTAGTTTGAAGACTTAGAAATGACTGTTTAGACTTCTGATCGTCGATAATATTCTCTGATGAATACCATTCAGAAACTGGAGTCGATGGTTCAGTAATCTATGGATACAAATGCCAAAATGATTATATATTAATGATAAATTAGGCTAAAAGATGCATGTTAAATGAAGTAATAATTGATTTATACTTCTTCAGTTGCATATATACAGATAGATGGATAGACAGCATAGAATTTAAGTGTTAGATAAAGCTGTCATAGCTCAAGACATTACACTGAAAAGAAGCCTGAAAGAGATAAGAATGAGAAGTTCTAGCGCTTATGTATTGCAAATAAACACGATGTGATATAACTTCTGTTTACAAATAAGCTATGTGACCGATTTTCATATTACACCTAAGGTTATCTTTAGCTTATTAGCCTATTCATCCAATAAATGACTTCAAACTGATAGCAGCTAATTAGTCGACTCCTCATACCTAAATTAGACTTTTAAATCACATGTGAGTCGAACCAACCCTCTAACTTAGATACACTTCAGTTGGAAAAGATAATATTGACATAAATAATAATTATAGAAGTTTCAATGGAGTAAATCGTTGGACTCTGGCGGATATATAAACATAAAATTCCCATTAACCGCAAAATAGATATATAAATCAACAAGAAATTATGCAAACACGTTCATTACTTCAAGTTCGAACACTTTACAGTAGTACTGACTGGAAACAAGGAGAGAGAGAGAGAAAAGAGATATGAAAGTAGACCAACATTTTGAAGATGATGAGACAGACAAACAGATAGACGAAATCAGCGTAGAACCTCTTATACAAGTTCATCGATTCAACCTGCCACACTTTACAATAGTATACAATGAACAGGTGGATAGAAAACAACTGATATCAGGGTAGACAAATTTCTGTGATAGAATAAACAAACTGAAGATAATGGTTAGTGCGAATATTCAAGCATTAGATGTCAAGGAGTGAATAGATGTGCACCACCATTGAGATCGATTTCTAAACATGTCATTAACAGTCAGCCTTCAACCATTTGTTCGTCATCCAAGTAGTCTACATCTCCCAACATGGCTCAGACTAATAGTAAGAAACTTCAAGGATTGGGGCCAAGTCTTGGTCTGGTCACCCCGAACCCTCTTCGAACAAGATTCAGCTTCCTGTAGCAAGGCACAAAGAAGTAGGCAGTGGCTTGGCATGCATAGTACATGTCCAAATCATCTCAGTTGATGAAGGTTGATAACCTTATACGTCGATTTCTTTGCATTGCTTAGTACCCCTTACCTGACTACAATACTGCACACACGGTGATTCCACCAAACGCGAGCAATGCTGCAAAGACATCTGTAATCGCTTTATGTATTCTATTTTAAATGGCCATGTCATACAGCCGTAAAGTAGGACAAAATGAACAGCGGTGAAGTAAACTCACTCTTTGATAAATAGTCAGATATCTTGGCTAGTCAGTGTCACAGACGACCCAAGTTGGCAAGTACCAAATGGGCCTTCTGAGATTTCGTCAGCAACCAGCCCGTTTGGATTGATGCAACTCACAAAGTAAGTAAACTGGTCAACACATTCTACAGATTCGTTTCTTATCATTAAAATACTATTTCATCAGTCTACACACATCTGACAGGTGGAAAACGAATGCCAAATATACTCAAATTTTCGGCGAAAGCATTTAGAAAACTGTATTCTATCGGTCTATTCCCATAACACAACCGTGTCCCCTGTATACTCTAACCCAACTAGGTGACCCTCTGAGTGATAAACCATTCTCCATGAGAGATCAGAGTTATTTCTGAGTGTAAGAAAATACAAATCTTCTTGTAAATATCATTTTAGAATAGTGAAATATGGTCCATGTACCACCATCAAGCATAGCTAGGTGAGCTGTTGTTGTTGCATGTTCATTAGAACGACAAAAAAAGATAACGACAACCTTACATGGCTTACAAATCGAATCAAATGCATGATTCAGATTAAAGATTATGGCAATGAGACATCGTATAAACCTGAACCATGAACGACTGCAAAATAAAGATTAGGTGTCAGATGATAATACAGTCCAAGATTTTTGAAGCCACATTATTGAAACTCAAACATTTTATGCCTAAAGGACCTTAAAATTTCATTTTACACGTGACTGTAGCTTCCACCTTGAATCGCTCGTCATCAACCTTACCTAGACCAGCCGAACAAGTTAAGGTATACTGATTGAGAACTAACAAAGCTACCTGGTTGCTTAAACCTCGTTAGGTGGAGAAGAGCGTCTGAACCTGTAACTTGCTGGTTAAAAGTTGAGTCCATAGATCAATGAGATACAACTCCATTGTATAAATAAAAACTACGGAGAGCCTCATAGACTTACTAGGGGAGAAACAGGTGACTGTTTGGAGACGGTAGGATTTTGTACTTGAACATCAGCAATGCTACCCTCTGCTTCACAACTGCCTTCAGTTGATTGTAAAGAAGGAACTGATGTAGTATTGTCTTCTGAACATTCTTCACCTATGAATGATCTTTTGCATGATACCCGATGAGCAAATGTTTCGCATACTCGAGTTGGAGCAGTATTCTCTGAAGTATCACAATCAAAATCGCTAAATGCTTCTTCTAGCATTTTTAATTCTGAAACATCAAATCGAATTTTTTGATTTTCACCTTCAATATCAGTTGGTGAATTGGTAAGTGAATGATGACATTGTTCAATATTGAAGGTATCTATTTGCTTCATTTGTCTATTCTCAATACCTAATAACAAATTGAAAAAGGAAAATTAGTATATTCAGAATAGAAAACGATAACAAATACACCTAAAATATTGCATATAACACTTACTCGATTTCTTTGTTTCTTCACTATGACTACGAACATGTAAGGTACCATTCAATAAACTATCTGACAGACCTATAAAATGAACTCATCAGTAATCTTTAACACTTACCCTTTATTGTATTAATGTTAAGAATGCTACATTCTTTATTATCTGCATACTGAATATTTTTGGTAGTAGGTTGAATAATATACGTTTGTTTATCAAATGCAGGTGAAGGTGATAGAATATTATTATAGTAGATTTGATTGTGTTTATGATAATTTGAAAGTTTATCTTGACCAGCAGTTGAATGAGCCACAGGTACAGGACTTCCTAAAATTGTTTCATTGACAATCTTAGGATCTATAACCCCCTTGTATAGTATTGGATAAGATTCTGCTGACATATCTAGGAAAATAAGTCATATAAGCTTATTAGCACTGGTATTAAGGTTTAACATTATTACTAGTTGTATTACTTTTAAAATAAGCAACATCCTGTCATAATTATAATTTAAGCAGGTCCACATGAAGGTAACAAAAACAAGCAAACATCAGAGTAAATATCTGAAAAGAATCATAGCAAGCTAATTAACTATATTTCATAAGATTATTCTTGAATGAAGAATAACATGATTCCAACTATACACCTAATGCTTTTTTCCTGTTCTAACAACATGCAACTAAACTTCTGAAGAACAATATCTTGGAGTATAAATCAAGTAGTACTACTTCTACTAGTACCATACTCAACAATCTAGTATCATATAATCAACTCTACCTAATTATATGAAAAAGAAGGAACAAAAAAAGAAAATAGGTGTTGCAGTGAGTAAGATTGAGGTCAGGCAAAGAGTATTAGTCAACACAGGCAAGTCAATTGATACAGTTGTCAACCTTAGTCGACTGAGATGGCTTTGACATGTACTGCACATGTCGAGTCACCGCCTATCTCGACGTGCCAAACTGAGGGAAAGTGGATTAGATTGAAAGAGGGTTCAGGGTGGCCAGATTAAGATGTGACACCAGTCCATCAAGTCCCCAACTCTTGGTTTGAGCCATGTTGGAAAATGCAGACTATCTGGTTGGCATCCCTAAGACGAAAGGTATAAGTGTGTGAGGATTGACTCTGAGTCATATGGCTGGAAATCAGTTATAAATGCGGTGCAGATGTATTTATTTCTTGGCATCTTCTAATACTTGAATATTCGCACTAGTTTTTTTATTCTGTCACACAACTTTGTCTACTTTGTGATCAATCCTTTTCTATCTGCTTGTTGTTTGTATGTATACTATTGTTAAATGTGGCAACTTGAACCGATGCACTTGTGCGCGAGGTTCAACGGTGATTTTGTCAGTCAGTCAGCTGTGACAGTAACTTATTTTAATTTTAAGACACTAATCTAAAGCAAGTGTAGCAAACTTTATGAAGCAATTAATGATAAAATTAAAGTTGTGGATTATCCATTCCGGTACCCGACTTCCAACGACTAGATCCACACCTTCGAATGGTGCCTTTAGGTATCAAGATATAAATTGAAAGCTCTTATGTAAATTTATTTCGACAACAGATACCTTGCAAAGAGATAGACTGATTTACAGTTAAACGAAAACCACAAACAATTGTTTCTTATAAAGTAGAACTTGAAAACAATGAGATAGTCACAAAGGGATGTTTGAAGACAGAGATAATAACGACTTGGCGATCTCATCACACCAAACAGACGATACTAATCACATCAGAAATGAATGTTAGCGTGATTCTGGTTTGTCGAGTTTTAGTGGCACCTTGAGAAACGAAACCAATGCAGAAATGTTACTGAAGATGCATTACTGGAAATACAGTGGTGGTATTCATAAGAAATGATTCACTAAATTAAACACTTGACTTTCAACCAATGGGTTAATGACTCAAAATGTCAACATCTACAGAATTTTATGTAACTGGTTAGTATTAGGATACAGAATTAGATCAAGATACTTACAAAGTAAGACTTTTTGAAGATATCTTTTATTCCAGGTTAGTACATTTCATGTGTCCAATCCTAGCAGGAATATGTTGTTGAGTGGAGGCTTACTGACTTAGACACTTAACTTTCAAACTAATAGGCCTCTAACTCAAACCCCATTCCATCTGCTTCGGCCTGTACGACCGGATAGTATAATAGGCCCTTATATTACGTGTGGATCATAGCCTAGTACATAAGAAAGATCTACCAGGATAAATTACATTATTTCATACTTGGTGGGAGTTAACAAGATGAGCAGCGAAAAGAAAGTAATATCAGCTCTTACAAAACGCCAAGACAGAGAGGAAAAGGATAAGCAAAATGAAATTATGCGGTGATACGATGTCGATGGAAATAAGATATGAACGACCACGAAAGATTGTGTAAAATTTGAAAACTAATATATGGACTCGGTCAGTCGCACTACTGATACTATATGACGGTTCACTGGCTAAAGTATTCGACCTATATACAGAGTCCTGAGTTCAAATTCATATTCACCAACTTCGACCACGGCAATCAGAAGGCATTATGAGGTCTCACATCATATGTATACCTCATGGTATATTACAGATACCTGTACAGGGTGAATTTCTGCTCCAGGTCTAGTCTTTTTTGATGCTTTCCTTGACAATAAGGAAAGAAGTGGTTGACCGCATTGACCATCCCACCCACATCGGAAGTCAAATAACTGCTAGTAGACCAATGACCGAGAAAATCTCGGCACAAATACAAAAACGCATCTGAATTCAACCAACCAACGCCATTTTTCGCCACGCCATCATATACGATTGCCAATTAAGGACACAATTTACACCACTAAAGTTCACTCCGTTCTATTATATGCCTGTGAAACATGGCCGTTGAAAGTGGAGGACATGAAAAGGCTTCAAGTATTTAACTACCTTTGTCTTTGTAGCACCGGTCATATGTCGTGATGACAGTAACGTAGAAGTCAGACATGGAGTAATGTATTAGACAGAGGAGTGAAGTCAGTTGATGATGTTCTAAACCTTCAGCGATTCAGGTGGCTCGGCGGAAATGTGTCATACATGCTTAGTCACCAGTCGCCTCGTCGTACAATATTGGTCGAAGTATGAAGAGGCTACATAGAGGTTGCAGCCGACCATACTAAAACATGACACCAGTCCCTGAAGTTTTCCACTGTTAGTCTGAACCGTGTGAGGAAATGTTGACCTTCCGGATGCGGTGCCCATAACAACCAAAGTTGGTGGTTGGCGACTTGGAGTTATAATTCAGAATCAATCTCAGTGGTGCAAATGTATTCGTGTTAATCTTTAAGCCAAACTCTAATATCGTCTCATTCCTTCTTGTTTTCTCTCCATAACTTCCTCCCTCCAATGAATATTTTATCTCTAATTTCTCCGTCTTTTATTTTGATGTGTTGATATGAGGTGTAACGAACCTAACAGCTACGCAGTAATACCATATCCTATGTTGATACTGACTGACAGGACCAAGTTGTATTGTTTTACCGCATAACTGTAACGTAAGGAAACTATTCATCCGTTTATAGTGATAGGATCATCTGCCACTAAGTTTACTCTCTGTATAAACTAAGAAAAACCTAAGCTCGATAAGAGGTCTCTATTGATCATATCCGACTGCACTTACCTGTCTTTTTTATCTGCACTAACAGTAGCATGTGCATGACAATGAAATTTCCTGCTAAGTTGAAAATATGTGATCTTCCCTATCTGCTTGAAGCACAAAATGTTTTGAGGTTGATGGAGATATCAATTTTGAGATAGTATTAATCGCGAACTGATGTTAGTTCGAGAACAATTTAAAACCTGGGAGCACTGGAGAGGTGTTTCGCCCCGATGTAGGACTTCTCCTCACCCATGACCCCACCAGGGATCGAACTCAGGACCTTCAGGTTTCATGGCAAACGCAATAACTATTCAGCCACTGGGTCGGAGTTCTGTGGTTCAGTTTCCAACTTTCGTCAATTCGCAATATAGTGCGACTATTTCGAAAATTAAAATCCCCATCAACTTCAAAAAACATTACTGTATATGGCTCATTAATGACATGCGTCTAGATAGATATCACGAAGTTCTAATGAGGTGTAACCTGTAAGGTTAACCAGTTGGAAAAGAAAAGGATGCCAAGACCTTGGGTAATAGTTGCGCTATATCGCGAGTTGACAGAAGTTGGAAACTGAACCACTGAACTCCGACGCGTTTGCCGTGAAACTTGAAAGTCCTGAGTTCGAGCCCTCATGGGATCGTGGGTGATTACTGTTGAGAAGTCCCATACTAAGATGAAACAGCTGTTCAGAGCTCCCAGGTTTTCAATGGTTCTCCAACTAATATCAGTCCGCGACAAACACTGACACAAAATAAATTGTCATCACGAAACTCATAGGAATCTAGTAGTAACATATAGACATATTAGGATTTGGATGATTCAGTATACCTAAATACGGGTTTTATTTGGTTGATAAATGAAATAGATAGCCTTATTTCGTCTCCGGCATAACTTGTATGGTAGTTTGACGTTTAGCTGGAAAATATCTACATAAATTGTGCTCCTTTATTTCAATTCTGCAACCAGTAAATGGAAGGGTTAAACGATACTAAATGCAATTATCAGGCTGGTTGGGTTTAGAAAGAAAGCAGAAAGAAGTATAAGGTAGATAGATAGATGCTGGAACTTTATTATTCGCTTTTTAAAAACCAATAAACACGAGTTTTTACAGTTAGTTAATTACTACAGATCTCAATTTCATTCAGGTAGGCTAAGATTATAAATAAACATTCACATGACAAATTTTGACAATTTGTTTTTACAGTTACACAATTGGTTGAGTAACCAATTAGAGAAAAAAGGAATGGTTCTACTTGTTTCACCTATATAATTCTTATATACAAAAACTTCGTCGGGATCACGAATTTCCTGGAAATTTCCCGTTTTTGAAAATAGTGCTTTCAACCTATCAATTTAACTTATTTCATAATGCTAAATACATGATAGGCGAGAAAAATTTACTGTGCAAAAGGTGCAGAAAGTGACTGAGTCAACATCCTATAAGTTTTAAAGTTCACGGGTTAAATGAGATGACAGTTTAATCACAACTAAAATCATGAAATTTTCTTCAGAAGGGTAACTCGTTTATTGTGCATTGAGCTATTGATTGTCTTAGACATATGAGTTTAAATTCATGGGTGACGGATTTCAGCCCTGTTCCGCCTAACGGAGCCTTGGCAGTCAGGTACTATCATGATCTCTGATATAAAAAGTGTTTCACGTTGCCAAATGCATCAAACTACATGTGGTTACTGAGAATTGGTATACAAAAAAGGACTTTATTGGATATTAGTTTGAGTTAATTTACTCAGATTCCAGATACCTCCATTTTCAAATGTCATAGACCACGAATTACATTCTAAAAAGAAACTTGGCATCCTGGTTTCTAGTTACGGTTAGGAATCATTGTTGCTATTTAAAAACAAAGCGGTTGCCAAACTCCTATCTATAGTGCACTCCATGGAATAATCTATAAATGAGTCTAAAAAAGTAAATACGTAGGAAATTGTCATAAGAAAATCTACATTTGCACTAGTTCTTTGTCGTGATTTCTAGATAAACAACTTAGGCTAAAATACTTCCAAAGAGTAGAGCGGGACTAACTTATCAAGTAGAGAGAAAAAGTGGACGAAACATAAATAAATGAATATAGAACAGATATTTATTACCACTCTTAGGATTAACCTGAGATACCAAAATTCTAACCCATAATTTTACCCTAACATTTACACTAAATGACTTCTCTAACCGGAACCTTACTTCAGGTAGATTGAGGAAATTTGTGTACAACACAAGAAAAATTTCGAGTACGCTGACAAAGTATGGTGCATTTTCCGCCGTAGTCAGTTACTTCTATTAGTATGTACCACTATAAGGCTCATTTCCATATTCAAATGATGGGAATTTAATTACAAGGTAACAAACAACAATTTGACTTACTGACTGACTAACTGACAAAATCAACATAGAACCTGGCAAAACTGCACTGTCACACTTTATAGTAGTATACAAAGAACAGGTGGATAGAGGAAAAGTGATAAGTACACAAAATTGTGTGACAGAATAAACAGTCTGAAGATAAAGGTTAGTGGGAATATTCAAGCAATAGGAGACGTCGAAAAGTGAGTACATCTGGACCACCTTTGTGGCCAATCTTCGACCATGTCAATGAAGAGTCGGTCTTCAACTGCTGATTCCTTTCATCTTAAGGATGCCAACTAGATAACCTGCCTCTTCCCATACGATTAAGACCAAGAGTAATGGACTTCATGGACTGGTGCTACATACTGGTCCGGCCACTCTGAACCCTCTTCCAACCAAATCCAGCTTCCCCTAGCATAGTGAAATTATTTTCATAAACCGTAACTGTACTTCGGAACTTCAGAATGTCTCAAACGAAATCTTCGGCTATCATTAGGAAAATACTGCTCATTCCTAAGTTTGTATGAAACTTTTCCAGCTGGTATAAGATCCGAGCAGACCTAATTAACTGAGATAAAAATTTCGAAACCTCTGACAACACTCAGTGGTGCGTGATATCTTCCATAATACTTGTATATATAAAGCACGCTTTATAAAAGAGAGTGACTCCAGCGTTATTAGCGAATTCGGATTTTGCATAATTTAATATTAGAACGGAGGTCGTCTGCGAAATGTGATGCATTTGCGTAGTACATTTCAAACAATATAGTCACACATTTACTTTATATTTTATATGAAGGGTAAAAATAGGGTGGGGTAAGATAGGTAAATTGAAGTAATACTAGATTTGGAAAATAAAGGGATAATGAGGAGGAATAATAGGTTTTCATACCTCGATTGGCATTAAAATGAGATAAAGATTACCAAGGAAGATCCCTTATCTTAAACCTTTCTTTTCTGAGTTGCCATTCTTAGTGAAAGACTGTTTTTGACTTCTTTTAAGATTTCTAACCGTAAAAATGCCTGTGGTCAACCAGAATTCTGAAACTGAGTGAACGAGGTATTCAAGACGATTATCAGGGATAGAATGTTTAGTCATGTCAAAAGCCATAGCCTTTTTTTTATCCTTATAACATTAGTTTTGCTCTGGTCGCTTTTTATGGCAAGATAGGAATGGCTGACAACAAGCTGCTAGACGCTGTGTTCACTGACTTCAGTAAGGCTTCCGATAAGGTTTCCCACTTTGGACTCACAAAAAAGCTCTAAGGTTTCAAATCCCACACTATGACACAAGCCCTAACTAGAGGATTTCCATGCGATGGGAGACAAAAGGTGAGCGAACAGAACGCTGTGGTAATTCATAAGAAATGACGTTCCCCAAAGAGCAATCTTAGTTACTCTACTTTTCCACTTTTGTCAACGAACTCCCAAATACAATTAAGCCACCGGTTTTATTTGGTGTTTCTAAAATACAAAGAAATTACTCACAATGATGCAGACAACTGTATTGCAAGTGAACTAGTCAAGCAGTCAAAGCGTTAAAGTTTAGGAACCAATTCCAGCAAAAATTCAGTAATTCATGTCATTCATAGCTGTCATCAGTATTTAAAAGACGAGGCATCAGTATCTGATATCCACAAAATTAAAGAAAAGGTGGTAGCAAGCCACAACTTGAAGGAGTTTTCACATCTCATTAAGGAGGTTTCTCTTTGAAGTGCGTTCGAAAGCTTTGATAATGACATGTTTCAGATATTGTATGCTACGTTTACGCATTCCCACCTCAAATATTGCATCAAGTTGGCTAATCATGGCTTTATTAAAGATGCTAAGGCACTGAAGCATGTTCAAAGGCCTCTTACTGACTTGTCTATCCAACATGTTATAAAGAAAGTTTGGTGAATAAATCTCCCACCATCTCATCGAAGAATGGTATGCCTAGTATTGGCATTCTATGCTCTTAACAAAGACCTTGAGGGAAGTATGCTTTTCTTTTTCTTCTCAAGGGTTGATCATCTTCTAGCCTAACACGAGAAAATTCAAGAACCACGGTAGAACCAAATTAGCTTCAGCCTACGCTTCTCGTACAATCTCGCCGGTAATTGGAACTCCCTGACTAAGGTGTGGCCAGCAGATTCAGTGAAAATATTCCACAACCGACTTTATGTTCACAAAGATTAACATGGACCAAATTCACCTAATATCCTTACTAATGCGGACTGAAGCCTACGTATTAGGAAGAGTGTCGGCAGACCCACTTGCTTTCCCCCTATAATGCCAAAACGCAGGGGATTCACTTTAATGCTACCGTTAGAATAAGTTGGAATTAGGACTCATTTTGAGCAAATATGTATACATGTACGCAATAAACTCTATAGGGTATACTGTTATTACGAAGAATCCATTTTGCCTAGCGAAATTTATTGTCACCTATGCCAACATAATTAAGGAGCATATCGGTTTCAAAAAGAATAGTCAAGTCATCCATTGAAAATAAAACCCAAGTGATACAGTATTGAGGCCAAAACCAAGAACAAAATCCAACCAACCTTAATTAACCCGCCAATTCACACTAACAAAATAGCTGATTTGTTAAAACGAATATCTTCACACTGGGCACTATAAGCACAAGGATGTGGATTACTTATCTCAGGCGCATTTCAAAAGATACAGATACCGTGACAATGTACTGCTGATTTTGACTGATGGAGAAGCTAATCAAAAAAGTGAACATCAATACTGTAGGTAGAAGACACTTGCAGTTTCTGACCTCTATCGTCTACGCCTTGAAACTCATCCCTTGTTTAGCTCAGCTCTTCGACTAGCTTGAGAATTTTTCAGTTTATCTATGTATTGCGCTAAAGGCAAAGACTGCCTGCCCGAATGTTTTCTTCTGCAAATAGTAGTTTACTTTCTCATTGTATATGTAGGTTTTAATACAATCCTGTCGTGTTCAGAAAAGGGAAAACAAGATTATTCTGAACACGATGGGATTATATTGAAGTCAACCCACATCCAATATCCAATATCCAATATTGATAGTGCGAGCGTAGAAAACTGGTAGTTTTTGATCTCTCGCGTCTAGTTCTTAGGGCTTGGTTCCAGTTGTTCGGTTTACTCCTGCAGTGGACGAGGAAATCCCCTCTGCTTTCTTGCTTTTAGCTTCGGTGAGGTGGATGTTTTGTGGGTTAGTAGGTTGTAATTTGTAGAGTGATTAGGGAGCTACGGGTTGCTGGGAAGTTTAGAGAACTACCGTGACTCCTGTCTGTGTAGGTACCTGAAAGAGACTAATAAGGTAGTGGTAAAGGAATGAAGAGGGAAATAAGGAAGAGAAAAAAGAGGAAATAATAATAATAATATAGGGAAGAGAAAAGGGAAGGAGAAGAAAAGGAGGGGTGAAAAGAGAAATGAGAACGAAAGAAAAGTATTTGGGAATTGCCCGAATGGTCGCGTGGGTTTGGTTCCTACAGAAGAATTAGTAGGTAATGTGGGTGTATTAAGGAGAGAGATAGTGAGTGGTAGTTAGGAGGGAGTTGGGGGCTACTGAGGTTGGTGACTACCTGAGTACGTCCGTGGTAGTCCATGCGAGGTGACATAACTGTCTAATCGCCTCTTGAAAGAGTCGATTGAAGGAGCTATAACGATGTGTCGCGGTAAGGCATTCCATAAAGCACATACTCTTAGGGAGAAAAATTTGGACCTGAGTGTGGTGTTGGCTCTCTGGTGTGCTATCTTAATGGGGTTTCCTCGTGAAGATCGTTCAGTTGCAGGCAAAATTGATTTGTTTGCATGGTCTGCCTGATGGGCGATCTTGTATGCCATAATGAGGTCACCCCTTTTCCTGCGATAACCCAAGGTAAATAGGTTGAGGTGTTTAAGTCTTTCAGGATACGTCTTTCCCCTTAGCCCCACAACTGATTTTGTTGCAGTTCTTTGTATTCTTTCAAGGAGATTAGAGTCTCTCTTGAGTGTTGGAGGAGCCACCGTATTGAAGACCTCTAGGTGCGGCCGCACGTAGGATTTGAAAATGGTGAGGAAGAGTTCGGGAGTGAGGGCGCCAAGCTGTCTACGCAGAAAGTGTAGAATGGCGTTCGCTCTGGTTGTCATACCTTTGTAGTTGGAGCTGGTGTCCAAGGTGTCGGAGAAGTTGAGCCCCAAATCTTTCTCCATGGACACTCTGGTGATAGCACGGTTGCTCAACATGTACTGGAAGTCGGTCGTACTTGCCTCATTTTTACTGATGTGCATTACTTTGCACTTTTCCAGTTGAAGCTCAGGCCATTTTCCGACGACCAGAGCTCGAGTTGCTGCAAGTCCTTTTGTAGTGCTGCACAGTCGGCTTCTTCGTTTACCACCCTCCAAATTTTTATGTCGTCAGCGAAGAGGAGGATGGGTGAGGATATTTTGTCTGGCAGATCGTTGACAAACAGGAGGAACAGAAGCGGTCCTAGGATTGCTCCTTGGGATACTCCTGACGTCGACGGTCTCCACTCCGACCTTATTCTGTTCACTTTAGTGCAGAACTGCCTCCCTTCCAGGTACTCCTTGAACCAAGAGAGTAGGGGTCCACTTATACCAGCTGACATGATCTTGTGAAGCAGTACTGTGGGTGGGACACTGTCAAATGCTTTGGCTAGGTCGAGAAATACAACATGTACAGGTTTTCTATTATCCCAGCTTTGTGTCCAGTCGTCCCAGGCGGTTAGTAAGTTGGTGGCACATGAGCGACCACTACGAAAGCCGTGCTGAGCAGTGTGGACAGTGTTTTCTCTATTGAGGAATTCCCAGATGGTGTCAGCTACCAGGCTTTCCAACACTTTCGACACAATAGGGAGTAGGGCAATCGGCCTGTAGCTGCCAGGGCTTTTTCTGTCTCCTCCCTTGAAGATGGGTGACAAGATGGCACTCTTCCATTCTTTAGGGAGTTTGCACGAGTCTATTGAGTGCTCAAAGAGGTTGCGAAGTGGTTTGGTAAGCACCTCGGCGCAGTTTTTCAGAACCACTGGTTTTAAGTTATCGCAGCCAGGGGACTTGCCCGGACGTAGCCTAGATAGCTTCTCGAACACCTTTTTCTCTGTAATAGAGACGTGACAGAGGTATTCGTTATTTGCGACCTGGTCGGTGTCGTGGCGAGTCGGTGTGGATCTTGTGTCAGTGCTGAGTTGGGCTTGGAAGTGTGAGCTCAAAAGCTCGGCAATCTCTAGACTGCTTAGCACACTCCCGTCATGGCCTGTGACAAGATTCACTCCCTTACTGGTCGACTTTCTTCTTGACATGAAGCGGTACAGGTTTTTGGGGTTGCTTTGTAACCTCGCTGCCAAGTTTGTTTGGTAGGAAAATCTGTCGTTACGCACTCTAATGTTACAGAGATTGCGAATCCTTTTGTAGTTCAAGAAGTCAGACTCCCTGCGTGATGTAAGCCACTTGAACCAAGCCTGCTTCTTGCTCCGGATAAGCCTCTCTGTCCCACGCTTTAACCATGAGGTTCTCATTGATTGTCTGTGTGTTACTTCTGGTACACTGTGACTGATGGCCCCAGTGATTATTTTCTTCACCTCCAACCAGTGTTCATCTATTGTGAGATGAGTCCAGTCCACTGGCCATGATGCATTCATGAGGTAGTCCCTCATGGTCTCATAGTTGGCCTTGCTGTAGCAAGGGAAGGTGTTGGGCGTCTCCAGTTGCAGAGCCTCCCTAGTTATCATGGAGAAGGTGATTACAGCGTGGTCACTGAGGCCAAGGGGAGGTTGGATGCAAACATCCTCAATGAGAAGTTCATCGTTCGTCAGAACGTAGTCAAGGCGCGATGCGTTTCCGTTAGGTCCCCAGCGTGTAGCATCACCCACTTTCTCTGAGAGGCCAGCAGTCTTAATTGCATCCTTCAGCTTCTGATTGAAGGATCTGATGCGTCTCCCTTCCGTCTCGAAGAGGATGGACGGGGTGTTGAAGTCGCCGGCAATGACTACGGAATCGTAATTTGCAGAGGAAGTCGTTAAGATAGCCTTGATGATCATTTCCTTATGTGTAGGGGAGCAGGTGGGGGACCGATATATGACTCCGAGCAGGTATTTGGTACTGTGGAGAGTGAAGTAGCACCATAGGGACTCTGGGAGCTGGGTTAAGGCCGTATCGCTAACCATCCTTGCCTTTAAACAGAGTTTACGTAGATAGCCACTCCCCTCCTGCTCTATGTTCCCTGTCCCTGCGGAAGAGTTCCATGCCAGTAACATGCATCTCTTCGTCGGAGATGTCCGAGAGCCAGGATTCGGTGATGAATATGATGTCGGAGTGCTGATGTGCACGCAGCGTCCTCATTTCTGCTACCTTCCCTCTTAGCCCCCTAACGTTGCTGTACATACATATTAGAGTGTGCCTGGTGAGGGGGAGGTCTGGTTGTGTATTTTCGCAGGATGAGAGCTTATGTGGTTGGGTCTACCCTCGCCAGTCCTCATAGGACTGGCATTGTTCCGTTTTTTGGTGTTTTGTTATTAACTTGGGTGGGGGCTGTGGCAGTGGTGGCTTCTTTACTTGATGTATCTAACTCACTGGTCAGCGCCTGTGTGACGACCACTGACTCCAGAGGTCTTGGTGGTTGTCGTCTCTCCTCTTGCCTTGTGGGTCTAGGCTTACTTTCACATATACGTATTGAGCCACCCATGCGATCCTTCGCATTATACCATGCCTGTAGAACGTCTGTGAGGGAGGCATATGAGTCGAACTGGACGGCGAGTAGTCTGGGATTGGGTATGGTCTTCAGGTGCGCTGGCCTTGGCAGTCTACTGACGCTGTTGGCCGGTATACTGTTGAGACCAACTTTGGTTGAGAGCCATTGCCATTGTTGGACGTCGTGAAAGTACCGATCTTTGACCGAGCGGTCACTTGGCAATTCTGGAATCCCATGTACAACTATAGTGTTGTTTCTGTTGGGATTTCCAACCGCTGACTTTCTCTCCTCCTCTCTTATTGACCATGGCTTGTCAGGCCTGGCCCGAATTTTACAGGCATTAACAACGTCCGGTTGTCGCGAGAGGAGGAGTGTGTCTTCAGCCTCTTTGGGGTATTTAGGGACACACGTAAAGGGGGTGGCTTATCTCGGGGTGCACGGCTTCCTCGAGAAAGGCGACATAAAGTTGCAGGGAGGGGAGGGAGTCCCAGCATCTGACAGTAGTCGGTCCACATTCGGCTGTCAAACCGTTCCCTCTCGACCAACAATGAGTCTGTCGATACATCGACGTTGAACAAAATGATCGAGTTGGTCCTCCTGTGACCTGGGTTCGTTGTGGGTGGCACGCCCGACTTCCCAATGGGTTTGAGTAATTCCACTGGTTGTTTCTCAGTCACGGTGTGTGGGGTGTTTGGAATGGGTTTCGTAGAGGCTTTAGCGGTCGATGTCTTTGGCCATACGCTTGACGTCCCCTGGGGCCGGGTAGGAGGTATGGAGACTTGACCTAATATGGTCCCCACGCGAGGTGGCGTGCCCGCAGCTGGAGCTCTAGGTCTGTTTCCAGGTCTCTCTGTGTTATCCTTTGGTGTTAACCCTACTTTATTCGAGGATGCTGGTAGCTTTTGCGTGG